ACAAATCCAACGAACCCAAACTCGTTAAGTTTCCGCCGTTTCGTTCAGGAGTTCCTATGGCCACCTCCTGACTTCATCATCAGACCAGCTCAATGGTACCATAATATTGCATTGTCATCGTACTTACATAATTTTACCAAATTTCAGCTCAATCGGTTGAGGAGAACTGGTCTTAAATTCGACGAAAGTTTGTGTTTGCCAAGAGCTTTTCAGAAGGCGTTGCATAACACGAAATTTCAAATGCAATTTTCTCAAAAGCNTGGTTGTCCTAATTAAATATTAAATAAAATAAAATTACATACCTGCCAGCAGTAAGAAGACTCAATCTCCTTAGTCTCGCGTCCGCAGTAGGGGCCGAATCGGACTCCTCGGGGTAGGGTCATCGTGGAAAACACTCCTAAACCGGCGCCTACGAAAAATAACAAGATATTAAACCGCTGATACAATTTTGATTCATTTTGGTATACAGATATAGGCTAGTTTCCTAAAAAAACTTTTATAAATATTGTACTATATATTATATTGGTCTTCCTCTTCGGTTTTATGATGCGTTGCAGTTCCGCGTGACGTCACAAAGTGCTACACTTCTTGACATCACGAGCCTCTTCTTTTAAACTTTGGCACGCATAAATATTTAACTCTCTAAATTATCAATAGTTTGAAAAAGTATAAAATACATACGTGAGTATCTTTTAATATTAAGTTAACAGACGCACTATTTAAACTCTTGCTTTTTTACCCAGGTTTTTCTCTACTTAGAACTTTCATCGCTAAAATAAATGAAAAGAACTGAAATACGGAGTGAAAATTAAGTGTGAGGATCCACTAAATTCTCAAGGTATAAAGGCATGGCTGTAGCTATGTGAAATTCTGATTGATAAAAAAGCAAAATAAAATTATAATAAAAAAAAACTTTTTTAAAAACAAGCTTTATCCTGAAATGCAGTTGTACTAAAACGAAAAAAATAACGAAAGCTTGTATCGCGCATGGAATTTATTCCTCTTTTTTTCTGTTTGCGATACAAGCTTTCGAAATTCTTTGAATCTAGCATGCAATTATTTTTTTCGTTTTAGTACAACTGCATTTCAGGATAAAGCTTGTTTTCAAGATTTTATTTATTAGAGAATAAATTTTATAATATTACATTAACTTAAAATGACTAAAAACTAAAGCTTGTTTTTAAAAAAGTTTTTTTTTATTATAATTTTATTTTACACTTTTTAGTTGTAACTATCTCAATATCTGGGCCTGGTCATCATTTAGCATAAAAGTGCTCGGGAAGTCGAATCCAACAAACCCAAACTCCATTAAGTTTCCGCCGTTTCGTGAGTTCCTATGGCCACCTCCTGACTTCATCATCAGACCAGCTCAATGGTACCATAATATTGCATTGTCATCGTACTTACATAATTTTACCAAATTTCAGCTCAATCGGTTGAGGAGAACTGGTCTTAAATTCGACGAAAGTTTGTGTTTGCCAAGAGCTTTTCAGAAGGCGTTGCATAACACGAAATTTCAAATGCAATTTTCTCAAAAGCATGTTCTCAAAATTCGGTGATTTTTTTTTCGTGAGTAAAATAAAAGGTCTTTTATAACATGCAATAATTCGTTATTGCTCAAAATGTACAACTTAAATTTAAAAAAATAAAAACCAAAANCGCTGACATAGCCCGACGGATTAGCAAGCTGAAGTGGCAGTGGGCAGGGCACATAGTACGCAGAAGCACACTTATCGACTCGGAAAGGGACCGTCACCGTATCGCCATTCGCCTTTAAAATAAAACTAATTTTATTTCTGCAAGTAGGCTTTTAAAAAGCACTTACACGTCCCAGTATTAACCCTACCACTGCTTCGGGACAATAAATGGGCCAGTCATCTTAGCCTTACCGTCAATAGGCATCAACCTAACGTAAGCGGATCGGCAGTGCTGGTACGTCGAATCGGCTACAGCTTGCCGGCCACAGATGTGTAATATTTCCGAGTTGATAAGTGTGCTTCGAACTTTATTCTGTGTATTTGAAGGTTAGATTATCTGATCATTTTATGGCGTATCCACATGCCAATAGTGTAGACAACACTGTAAGTGTAGACACCCACATTCTGTGGTATCATCAGCTCAACTAGTCTCCACATCAAGAGCGTAAATAATACTATTTTAAAACTGCTTTATTTCAAACCAAATATGCTGCATTTGATTTTTACATGTGACCTTTCAGCTTCATTTAATCATAATAAAAAATCATGTTTTCTACACTAAGGCTGGGTTGCACCATCCTACTTTAACTTTGACAAACGTCAAAAATCTGTCAAACTCTATACAAAAAACACCGGTTATCGTCAAAGTTTCGGTCAAAGTTAGGTGGTGCAACTCAGCCTTAATAAATACCAATCACTAAAACTAGAGTTATTATTATATAGCCCGACCAGGAACATAAAAACCTTCGCCATGTTGCGAAACTAATGATACTATAGCCTGACCAGGAACATAAAAACCCTGGCATAGAGGCGCTTCAATTGCATTTGATAGTGCAACACTGGGTACAGTCGTACCTGCATTAAATTAATAGGCTAACTTTATGTATCAGGATTCAGGATTATAGGCTTATTTAATATTTTCATAAATTAACAAAAACGTATTATATTATAGGTAAACTGGTTTAAATAAATTAAATGAAACCATCAATCGAGCAAGTAGGATTTTATTATTATTCATCAATAATCAAATTCTGAACTTAAATATTCAACTACAATGTATGTTCTCAAAATTCGGTGATTTTTTTTTCGTGAGTAAAATAAAAGGTCTTTTATAACATGCAATAATTCGTTATTGCTCAAAATGTACAACTTAAATTTAAAAAAATAAAAACCAAAAATCAGTTTTTTTATAATTTCTCCGGATCTACAAAGCTTTAGAATGTGATGTATAGCTCAAAAAAAGGGAAATGGTGTGCTTTATTACTCACATAAGTCAATTGTGTTACAACTTCAACAAAAGAACAGATAAACCAAAAATCGTATTTTAACACACACAAAATAAGCCAAATTAAAAAATTTTTTTCTCGAAAGCTGTTGAAGATAGACCACGGGTTTCTTTTAAGAATTTACTTAGATTTACTTGTTAAATCATGTCATCTATTCACCAAAAAATGTCCGCTTCCAAGTGATTTTAAAAGACTGTGCACACATACTAACAAGTGAAGTCAATATAAAGCTTGTATTGTATTGTATTGCATGTTGTAAAAATAGTGCCACACAGAATAATAATAAAGATATTACATAGTTAAACAGTTGATTTTAGATGCCTATGAGCGACTCATAAAATCTGACACCAATAATATATGACCCAAGATAGAAAATAGATAAAACATACCAGGTATAATAGAGGGAGCTATGTGCAAAAACACTCGTGGTATGGTGAGTGCGGCACGCGGTATGAAATCTGGAAATGTCGTCAGGGTGGGCACCTAGTGAGAAATAAAAATATTTTTTAGTTAAAAATGCCCTTAACAAAATGAATAAAAGCAAATAAAATATATTTTTTATTTATCCACAACGAGGAAGCTCTTGGCCTGTATCTCACCTGATGGTAAGTGACGATCAGGCCGAAGGTGGAAGCGAAATTGTGTACACATTAGTAAAAATTGACCATACATTATTTGTACCTACACTATTTTTTCAAACAAATACTCATAGAATATCTTGTCCACTTAAATTTTCTTCAAAATGTAATTACAATATCAAGTTCGTTCGTTCGTTTTAGCCAAATGACGTCCACTGCTGGACAAAGGCCTCCCCCAAGGTTTTCCACAATGAACGGTTCGGCGCTGCCCGCATCCAGGCACCTCCCGCGACCTTTACCAGATCGTCGGTCCTCCTAGTACCAGGCCTGCCCACGCTACGTTACTACCAAGTAAGAACAAAAATTAATACAATTTTACTGAAACTACTTGTAACAAAAATGATAATCTTACTTTGTCGTCCGGTATGACGAGTAAAGGCCCATGAATAGAACAATACTCGTAGACGAAATCGGCGCATTTTTCACAAACTACAAATAAACAAAAAGAAATAATAATTGATAATTTCGTGGCTATCACCTAAATTGTAACGTCGAGTAAACAAGCAAGTCTTTCTTCTTAATGTTTTACATAAATTTTATGTACTACACACACAGGAATCATAGGCTAAATAATGGCTTAAAAATCTCATAGGTCATCGTACTTTGAAGACAAATAAAGCGCTGGATTGAAACATACAGGGAATATGGATGAGTACTACCTAAAATCTTTAGTAGACATTGCGTTGTTTTTTTAGGTACAGTCATTGACATGCATACTTACAGACATATTCATCAAGATTGGGTTCTTCTACTTCACTGTAGCTTATACGCGGTATACACCGCAAGCTACGGCGTTTCATGGTTCAAAATAATCAACAACAAGATGTTTTTCTAATCTTCACGTCTTCACATACTGAGAAAACTTTTTTACAACTTTCCCGCTAAAACAATATTTTTTCTATCAATACCACCGACCAATCAGAGCTACGCACATGGTGTACCAACATAAGGAAAGTAAATGTCAATTAGGGTAGTGCTGGTTGCGCTATTTTTCATCGTATCACAATCGTAATGTCTAAATTATCACCTATCCCATACAAAAACCATTCGAGAACAAACTTTAAATTAAAAAAAAAACAAGAAAATGGCGAAAAAGCTGTCAAACGATTGTTTGTAAAATGAATTCTCTAAATTGTAAACCCAGGCTATAATTTATACAGTTTGTAATTTATTAGTAATACTTAGAATATGAAAATGTATAGTATTACAAAAAAAATACAAATTTTACATCAACCAAAACGTTTTAGATGAAGTCAATTCATATCTACTGAGATGTGCGATTTTAAGTGAATGTTTTGTATGAAAAGTTCAATAAAATGCGGTGCAGCGTTCAAAATTGCTCCAATGACACGAGGCGGAAGACAAAAACTAATGGACTCACGTTCCATGTGTAAGTAAAAAAAGTTTTCTACCAGATGTTATCAACAATCATTTCGAAGTCTGAAATCTTGTTATTTCGCGGGCAGCATTATAAAAACGTGACGTATCATACTAAAATAACTTACCTCGTATCCTGAGTTAGTTAAATAGCAGAGAAATAAAGACATAAAATTAGGAGAAACCATCCAAATATACCAAAACAAATGTTGTCAAGAAGGTTTCATGTCTTGTTGATTGTCTTATTAAATAAGTAAAATAAATAACTTTCTTCAGGTTCCCTCGCGAGCCACAGCTGCGTCATGCCTGGATCGAAGCCCTCGGCATGTCAGAGTGGGAGCCGAAAGACAGAAGCACTGTGTGCTCCGAACACTTTCGAAACAGCGACTTCTATGAGACCAAATGTGGGCTCCGGAGGATAAAGAACGGAGCTGTGCCAGTCCTGGGCCTTGTGAGTTTGTATCCATGATAAAATTGATTACATGTTTATTGTAAAGTTATAAATATAAATAGTGTTAAAATGTAAATTTTCAATGTCACAACAAACATTTTTATGTTTAGTGACATAAGAAATGTTAGATTTTATAGCCTAACTTGTAGGTAGTTAAATTAAATAAATGAATAAATTGTTGGGGAATAGGCTCAGTCAATCCCAACTAATATTATAAATGCGAAAGTAACTCTGTCTGTCTGTCTGTTACGCTTTCCCGCTTAAACCTCGCAACCGATTTTGATGAAATTTGGCATAGAGATAGTTTGAGTCCCGAGAAAGAACATAGGATAGTTTTTATCCCGGTTTTTGAAACAGAGACGCGCGCGATAAAGTTTTTCTGTGACAGACAAAATTCCACGCGGGCGAAGCCGCGGGCGGAAAGCTAGTTCCCTCTATATTATACACCAAAATAATGTTTACTGAAATGTTTATAATTAACTATAATACTGAAAAATTACATTTCTTGATGTTTCTCCATACAAAATGACATTTTTGAATGGGTCAAAAACCTGCTATTATTTTGGTTAGGTCTTCATTTGTTTTCACTAATGTATTCATTGCCTAATGAGAATTATGTGAGATAATTATAAAAATTATAATTGAGTAATATTTCATTCCTTTTTACAGGGATCCGATGATTTGGATGCTCCTGCATCGTTACGAGTAAGTACCTTTAAGCTGGTATAGTCTGGTCTGTGAGCAAGCTTTAGATTCACATTTTTATTGAAACTTGATAATAATATACAAAGTTGATTGTTTTATGAAATTTCAATAATGATTTTTGATGTGCAATAACATATTCTTCTTAATTCCTATACTACTGGTATCCATTTGCCTAAGAAATAATACAAGAGAATAAAAAACTTAAAAAGTATTACACATTTTATTGTGTTTACCAATTTATTATAATTATCCTCAACAGGTGTGCAGAATTTGTTTATCCATGGGTGTGAAAATGTATGACATGTTTGATTACCAACTGGGCGAGATCTACCAACAACTGACTGACACTGAAGTAAGTATAATGAGTAATTTTTTTCATGAAATTTGACTTCATAAAATCTTCTTCATTTGTCCACTAAACTCTAAGCTCTACCATGTACGTACATGAATAAGGTATGATGGTGTAAATCAAAGTCCCCCAAACATAGGGTTACCATATTTTAGGATTTGTCCTGAGATTTCAGGATTTTTGGACTCTTCTCAGGATTGCGGCCGGATTTTGCAAATCTAAGGAAAATTTAGGATTTTAGAATTTCTATTGAAATAGGCAACATTGCCTACATTTTGAAGATCTCTTTAATAAAAAGTTAAACAAACTAAAAAAATCTCCCTAATTTAAGTAATTTTGCAGAATTAAAATCAACACTAATTTATCCCTTGTAATCTGTAGTGTATAAAAAAAATAAAAATGCGACTTTTTAAAATTGCTCAATACGTTTTAGAGAAAATTCTCAAACTGCAACAAAATCTCAGGCTTTTTCAATGAAAATCAGGCCTTTTCTTCCCACTTTTGCTTTTTTCATTTTCACTCAATTAAACACCATTTTCACTCAATTAAACACCATCATAAGCCTCCAATTTTTCGTCGGCCGATAGTTTAAGTCGGGCAGTTGATCAGTATGGGCATGTATGGAAGTGCGCACATTACACCGATTTGGTATCGGCCGATTCTTCATACAAATTAGAATCGGGCCTAACTATCGGCCAACTTAAAATCGGTGGTCTGCGTCTAGGCTAAAACCACACACACACACACACTGACAAAATTTAGCGGTGATTAGCGGTGAGGTGCGCTGAATTTTGTCAGTGTGTGCGTGCGCGCCGCATACGTATTGGCGCGCTCACATACAAACCGCGCTCGGGCGTTTCTATGAAGATGACCTACTCATTTGTATTTACTCTGCTAAAACTTACTGATATATCCATCTCTCTCTATCCCCAGTGGAGCGACAAAGACGAGCTGCCGCAGAAGCTATGCTGGGAGTGTGCAGCCAGACTGGCATCGTGTGCCAAGATGAGAAGCAGAGCTCTCAGGAGTCATAAGCTGATGATGGACGTGTTAAATTCCACATCCCCTGTAAGTATAATCGCTTTTAAGGTCATAAGCACACTTCATCATCATCATTGCAGCCACAGGACGTCCACTGCTGAACATAGGCCTCCCCCAATGATTTCCATAGTGACTGGTTAGTAGCGGCCTGCATCCAGCGCCTTCCTGCTACCTTTGTCAGGTCGTCGGCTTATGACTCGGAAACGTGGCCCCTCACTATAGGCCTTATACAGAAGCTCAAAGTTGCACAGCGTGCTATGGAGAGGGCTATGCTCGGTGTTTCTATACGAGATCGAATCAGAAATGAGGAGATCCGTAAACGAAATAAAGCCGCTGACATAGCCCGACGGATTAGCAAGCTGAAGTGGCAGTGGGCAGGGCACATAGTACGCAGAAGCACACTTATCGACTCGGAAAGGGACCGTCACCGTATCGCCATTCGCCTTTAAAATAAAACTAATTTTATTTCTGCAAGTAGGCTTTTAAAAAGCACTTACACGTCCCAGTATTAACCCTACCACTGCTTCGGGACAATAAATGGGCCAGTCATCTTAGCCTTACCGTCAATAGGCATCAACCTAACGTAAGCGGATCGGCAGTGCTGGTACGTCGAATCGGCTACAGCTTGCCGGCCACAGATGTGTAATATTTCCGAGTTGATAAGTGTGCTTCGAACTTTATTCTGTGTATTTGAAGGTTAGATTATCTGATCATTTTATGGCGTATCCACATGCCAATAGTGTAGACAACACTGTAAGTGTAGACACCCACATTCTGTGGTATCATCAGCTCAACTAGTCTCCACATCAAGAGCGTAAATAATACTATTTTAAAACTGCTTTATTTCAAACCAAATATGCTGCATTTGATTTTTACATGTGACCTTTCAGCTTCATTTAATCATAATAAAAAATCATGTTTTCTACACTAAGGCTGGGTTGCACCATCCTACTTTAACTTTGACAAACGTCAAAAATCTGTCAAACTCTATACAAAAAACACCGGTTATCGTCAAAGTTTCGGTCAAAGTTAGGTGGTGCAACTCAGCCTTAATAAATACCAATCACTAAAACTAGAGTTATTATTATATAGCCCGACCAGGAACATAAAAACCTTCGCCATGTTGCGAAACTAATGATACTATAGCCTGACCAGGAACATAAAAACCCTGGCATAGAGGCGCTTCAATTGCATTTGATAGTGCAACACTGGGTACAGTCGTACCTGCATTAAATTAATAGGCTAACTTTATGTATCAGGATTCAGGATTATAGGCTTATTTAATATTTTCATAAATTAACAAAAACGTATTATATTATAGGTAAACTGGTTTAAATAAATTAAATGAAACCATCAATCGAGCAAGTAGGATTTTATTATTATTCATCAATAATCAAATTCTGAACTTAAATATTCAACTACAATGTCTGCTCATGAACGCTTCAAGCTCGGTACTTCTTTCCCAATTCCATAAAATTCAATACTTACAAAGTGACAAAAAAACTTTAAAATAGGTAGTTGAAACAAACCACAGCTAATTTTCATAGTTGACTGTACTATACGATAAACATGTCAGTCAATTTGACAACCTTTGTCGGAAACATTATTCAATGAAAATATTGTCCGAACCCTTAGTATTTCTCTTCGACAAATACTTTAACACATTGTGAACCACTTTTCTTTCACGACTATATAAAGATTTTAGCAATTTAATTCACAAAATCAATTGCGCGCATTTAAAATAAAGTTTGTTTACACTTTGACAGCAATAGACTGATATGCAAGGTGACATGTCAATGAAGTTTTCAGTTACTGTTGCCATTAAAAGAAATTAGTACCATTGATTTTCCGCAACATGGCGAGGGTTTTTATGTTCCTGGTCAGGCTATAATTTCTTTTAATGGCAACAGTAACTGAAAACTTCATTGACATGTCACCTTGCATGTTAGTCTATTGCTGTCAAAGTGTAAACAAACTTTATTTTAAATGTGCGCAATTGATTTTGTGAATTAAATTGCTAAAATATTTTTATAGTCGTGAAAGAAAAGTGGTTCACAATGTGTTAAAGTATTTGTCGAAGAGAAATACTAAGGGTTCGGCAATATTTTCATTGAATAATGTTTCCGACAAAGGTTGTCAAATTGACTGACATGTTTATCGTATAGTACAGTCCACTATGAAAATTAGCTGTGGTTTGTTTCAACTATCTATTTTAAACACAGGTACGACTGTACTCAGTGTTGCACTATCAAATGCAATGAGGGCTATCGTTTTTATACTTAACAGTTGGCACCCCTGGCGATTGACAGGACCTTACTCTACAGTGGCGCCATCTTGATGAGTGCAATTGCGATAGTCCTCCTACCACTTTAGCGCTCACCGGTTGGTGCCACTGTCTTCGCTACTAGCAAGTGACAGGACCTTACTCTACAGTGGCGCTAACTGGTGAGCGCTAAAACGATAGCCCTCATTGACGCGCCTCTATGCCAGGGTTTTTATGTTCCTGATCAGGCTATACATGGAGTAATAAAGAATTTGAATTTGTATTACATTTCAGATCACAGTGAAAGACGTGAAGTCAATAAGCCGGTCAACCTACGAACTGCAGTCTAGTCTCATACAAAAAGTGTATGAGCCTAACGAGTGCGACATGTATTGGCAAGAGACATGCGAGCCGAGTTTGCCTGTATTCTTGGCTGAAGAGAAGGAAGAAAATATTAAGGTGAGAGCTAGACTAGTCGCTGCGATTAGTCGCTTCGACTAGTCGCAAAAGACTGCGACTAATCGCTGTCAAAGGAGGGAATAAAAAGTGACAGCCAGAATATTCTCTGCAAATATCTGGAATAGACTACGATTAGTCGCAAAAACTGCGACTAATTAGTATTAGAGGAAGGTTGTAAAAGTGAGAGCCAGATTAGTCGCTGTAACACTCTTCAATACGCTACGACTAATCGTAAAACGGTGCGACTAATCACTATTAGAAGAAATAATAGTGAGAGCCAGACTAGTCGCTGCGACTATTCGCAACGGACTGCGACTAATCGCCATAGGTTCTAGGTGACGTCTGTTAGTTCAAAGAGTCTCATACAAAAAGTGTATGAGCCTAACGAATGCGACATGTATTGGCAAGAGACGTGTGAGCCGAGTTTACCCGTATTCTTGGGAGGGGAGAAAGAAGAAGAGGGGGATATAAAGGTGAGAGCTAGACTAGTTGCTGCGATTAGTCGCAGTATCGTGCGACTAATCGCAACTAATTGTTGTTAAAGGAGAAATAAAAAGTGAGCCAGACTAGTCGCTAAAGACTGCGACTAATCGCTGTTAGAAGAGAGAATACTGTGAGAGCTAGACTAGTCGCTGCAATTACCCGTAATATGTTACGACTTGTCGCAAAAGGCTGCGAATAATCAGTATTAGAGGAAAGAATAGAGCCAAACTAGTCGCTTCGACTAGTCGCAAAAGACTGCGACTAATCGCTGTCAAAGGAGGGAATAAAAAGTGACAGCCAGAATATTCTCTGCAAATATCTGGAATAGACTACGATTAGTCGCAAAAACTGCGACTAATTAGTATTAGAGGAAGGTTGTAAAGGTGAGAGCCAGATTAGGCGCTGTAACACTCTTCAATACGCTACGACTAATCGTAAAACGGTGCGACTAATCACTATTAGAAGAAATAATAGTGAGAGCCAGACTAGTCGCTGCGACTATTCGCAACGGACTGCGACTAATCGCCATAGGTTCTAGGTGACGTCTGTTAGTTCAAAGAGTCTCATACAAAAGGTGTATGAGCCTAACGAGTGCGACATGTATTGGCAAGAGACGTGTGAGCCGAGTTTACCCGTATTCTTGGCTGAAGAGAAGGAGGAAAATATTAAGGTAAGACCTAGACTAGTCACTGCGATTAGTCGCACGATATTGCGACTAATCGCAACTAATTGTTGTTAAAGGAGAAATAAAAAGTGACTAGTAGCCAGACTAGTCGCTAAAAACTAAGACTAATCGCTGTTAGAAGAGAATACTGTGAGAGCTAGACTAGTCGCTGCAATTACCCGTAATATGTTACAACTTGTCGCAAAAGGCTGCAAATAATTGATCTTAAAGGAAGGAATAAAAAGTGAGCCAGACTATCAGCAGTAGGTTACGACTAGTCGCTAAAGACTACGACTAATCGCTTATTGATCGTGCCTGGATGTGGGCAGCGCAGGGCCGTTCGTTGTCGAAACCCTTGGGGGAGACCTTTGTCCAGTGGACATCATTTGCCAATGCAGGTCGTCGGTCCATCGAGTGTTTTCGTACAATTAAACCTGTTCTATTTGCCCTAAGGCGGAGTCCCCAGTTGGATGCGCCGCAAGCCCGCTGCCCGAGCTGCCTCCAAGCGTCCAAGTTAAAGACGAAAGCACAGAAATATACTTCGACGAGTTTAACGACAATACTGACCAGTTTCAAGGTGAGTAAAACGATTGAAACTAAGGCTGAGTTGTACCACCTTATTTTAACCGTAACTATAACCATAACCGGTGATTTTTTGTATGGATTTTGACTTGCTTTTGAAGTTATTAAAGTTAGATAATGCGACCCAGTCTTATACAACAAATAATATACAATAAATTGAATAAGCTCTGAAAATACTGGACCGATTCGAAAAAATATTTCACCATTATAATCCTATGTTATTCTTGATAGGCGATAGAATATTTTCAAAGAGTTAGGGATCCGTATGAGAACTTCGTTAATGTAAATAAATAACTTGGGTATTTTAATAGTGACACCTTTAAAATAATAGTGACACCTTTAAAATAACAGTGACACCTTTAAAATAATACTTTTCAGATCATTTCAACGAATCGGACGACAACGTGAAACTTAGTGAAGTAGCCGAAAAGCCTAAAGTAAAGAAGAAAAAAGTCAAAATAGAAAAAGAAAAGAAACCAAAAGAACGGAAGAAAAANGCGACTAATTTTAGTATTAGAGGAAGGTTGTAAAGGTGAGAGCCAGATTAGTCGCTGTAACACTCTTCAATACGCTACGACTAATCGTAAAACGGTGCGACTAATCACTATTAGAAGAAATAATAGTGAGAGCCAGACTAGTCGCTGCGACTATTCGCAACGGACTGCGACTAATCGCCATAGGTTCTAGGTGACGTCTGTTAGTTCAAAGAGTCTCATACAAAAAGTGTATGAGCCTAACGAATGCGACATGTATTGGCAAGAGACGTGTGAGCCGAGTTTACCCGTATTCTTGGGAGGGGAGAAAGAAGAAGAGGGGGATATAAAGGTGAGAGCTAGACTAGTCGCTGCGATTAGTCGCACGATACTGCGACTAATCGCAACTAATTGTTGTTAAAGGAGAAATAAAAAGTGACTAGTAGCCAGACTAGTCGCTAAAAACTAAGACTAATCGTTGTTAGAAGAGAGAATACTGTGAGAGCTAGACTAGTCGCTGCAATTACCCGTAATATGTTACGACTTGTCGCAAAAGGCTGCGACTAATCAGTATTAGAGGAAAGAATAGTGAGAGCCAGACTAGTCGCTGCGACTAATCGCCATAGGTTCTAGGTGACGTCTGTTAGTTCAAAGAGTCTCATACAAAAGGTGTATGAGCCTAACGAGTGCGACATGTATTGGCAAGAAACGTGTGAGCCAAGTTTGCCTGTATTCTTAGCCGAAGAGAAGGAGGAAAATATTAAGGTAAGAGCTAGACTAGTCGCTGCGATTAGTCGCAGAAGACTGCGACTAATCGCTGTCAAAGGAGGGAATAAAGTGAGAGAGAGTAAAGTGTTATTTACGTAACAACTTCAACGACAACAAATCGCTGAGTTGCGATCCTATCGAGTAATCGTTCTATCGATATGACCCTTGTGAATACGGATTGTTAGCGACGCGATTAGCAAGAACCTTTATCGTGTTAGCTATTAAGACTCCTTGATTTAGAATGAACCTTTATGGTGTTAGCAATTAGTGACTCCTAGATTTAAAAATAAAATATTGGATTGACATGTGAGCTGTCTTAGGTTCATTGAACTTTTGTCATGGTTTTTGCATTGTAAAACAATGGTTTAATTTAAAATACAGTCCATTTTGAAGAAACGGCATTTCATTTAACTGCAAGACATCCACCGCCAACACGGATTTAGATCTGTTTTTCAATGGGACAACTTCTAAACGTCAACGAGATTTTGACTGTGTCAAAATACGTGAATTAGGCCACTGGTCGCAATAGTCTGCGACTAAGATTAGTCACAAGAGGGAGAGCCAGATTAGTTGCTGCGACTATCCGCGATGGGCTGCGATTACGTTGACGCATGGTGGTTCAAAATAAATGTAGTTTGCTACACTGCGACTAATCGCAAAACACTACGATTAATCGCAAAACTCTGCGACTAATCGCAGCTAGCTGTATGTGGCGTCTAGACTTGTGGTTCAAGACTGTTAGTTTGCGACACTGCGATTAGTCGCAAAATTCTACGACTAATCGCAGTTAGTGTCTGTCTCACATAGCGTCCCTTTGTCCCAGGCGGAGTCCCCGGTTGGATGCGCCGCAAGCCCGCTGCCCGAGCTGCCTCCAAGCGTGCAAGTTAAAGACGAAAGCACAGAAATATACTTCGACGAGTTTAATGATAACACCGACCAGTTTCAAGGTGAGTATTCTACTATAGTCGCCGAGCACGTAGAATTTTGTCCAATGACCCCAAGCTAAGCTCGCAAACTCACTGCGGGCGCCCGTCGCACAGTCGCGACAGCAATATAATTACGCGCGAGCGATAAGGATGGGCAGCTTGGGGTCATTGGACAAAATTCTACGTGCTCGGCGACCGGGCTTTACAAATCATGTTGTTCACACTAGGGATGTTATGGATATACAAATAAATTATACCAGCTTCGAATATGGTTACGGATATTTATTTATTTCGGATACTCTTCCGAAAGTTTCGGTTATGGTTACGAATATCCATAACATCCCTGGTTGACACACACTCAGCTGATGTCAGCTGATCTCTCGTCATTCGTAGAAATAGGGATGTTTCCTGGGTAAAAAAGCAAGTTTTATTTTGTTTTATTTTATTTTATTTGTTTAACAATTTTATTAGTCCGTCAGTTAACTTATCAAAAAATACTCGACACGTATTTTAAATTTTTTCAAACTAATGAAAATTTAATGAGAAAGCGCGCCAAAGTTCAATAGAAGAGGCCCGTGTCGTCAATGAGTGCTTAAAACTGCAGCACCTTGTGACGTCGCGCGGAACTTCAACGCACCATAACTTTGTAATTATTTATTTGATTGACGATTTAAAATATACGTGTCCAATATTTTTTGATATTAAAATTGACGGACTAAAAAATTTTTTTAGGAAACTAGCGTATTGTATGCTGATCTTTTTAAATGAAGTACATAGTTAAAAGTCGTCGTTATAGTTTTTATCTTAACTTCATGAAACAAGCAATTTAAATAACATTTTCAGATGATGTCATTGTATTTGTAAATATTTGTATTTGTATTAGATCATTTCAACGAATCGGATGACAACGTGAAACTTAGTGAAGTTGCCGAAAAGCCTAAAGTGAAGAAGAAAAAAGTCAAAATAGAAAAAGAAAAGAAACCGAAAGAACGGAAGAAAAAAGACGACGAGGAAAACCCGGTGGAAACTATGGACAAGTTAGTATGTTTGTTAATAAAAGCACAGAATAATAATAAGTACTACGTACAGAAGTTTTACTTCGCGAAGGTATTTAAAAAAATGTATGCTCAATGTCATTAACAATATGGTGTAATTTAGCCTGTCTCAAGAGTCAAGCACCATTTTGTTGACAAACGTCAGTGATCGGCACTGCGCCGAAGCTATAGGGCTGACTTCGGTAAAATGATGTGACGTGAGGTGCCAAACTGCGGAAAATGGCGGAGGAAATACAAATTATCATGAATAATATTAACTACTTATTTACCTCTCAGTGTCTTGAGGCAACTTAAAAAAATACATTCTGTGTTTTTATTATTATTTAGGCAGTTAAATACTGCACAGTATTTAGTACACCATTTTCTTTATTTTCTTCCATCATATACAAGAATACGCGTGCGTAAGTCATTGTTAGCTCGTATGTGAGTCCTTGTCGAATAGTATCCTGTAGGTGGGCCATCGTGCGTGTTTTGTTTTCGATGTAAACTCGCGGAGATGAACAGGCCTGATAAAAGTTACAAATTACTTATAACATAGGAAAAAGTCTTCAATTCAAATTCAAATTATTTATTTGCAATAAATAGGGTTTACAAAAAGGTGTTTCAAAGAGATAAATGTTGCTTTCACCTATTTAACTATGATAACACAGCATGCAAATTTTCGTCTTAAAACGACTTTTTATAAATTACAATAAGTTTTCAATTAGATAATACAATATTATTAATTTAACGATTACCACTCATATGACAGCATGACCCTAAGTTGGGGTCCTTTTGCGTTAAAAAATATATGAAATGTTTTAATCTTTAAAATATTATTTCTGAATCTTGTGGCTCATACTTGTCTCAATTTATTTATAAAATGAAAAGTTGTGGCCTCTAAAACAAATATTATTAAATTAAATTCTGGGCACCTTCCCCTAATGCACCGATTTGAATGTTTTTTATAAAGCCTTGTTTTTTATTCTTAATTGAGGTTTAATTTAAATAAAGAAGTAGTTTAGTATTATTTTATTTATTTAACTTATCTAATATTTTAATAAAGTGTACATAATTTTGATTTGCATTTACAAATTACTAATATTCTTTTAAACCAAATATAATGTAGGGTAATCAAATATGGTTTATAGAAAAAACTGATTTCGAACAATTCTTCTTACAAGATGGCTTTTTCATAGGCAAAGAGCTATATTATTTTATTTTATACTTATACAGTATCTAAATATGTATTTTGTTGTATTTCAGATACAAAACATCAGACGTAAAAAGGAGAAAGACAGTCGATGGGCCGGACGAATCTCTATTCAACATCAGCACTCTCACTTATGAAGAACAGATAGCTGAAATACAAAAAAGACAGGTATAATATAGGTTTTTTGATTTTAATAGGATTTTCAATTCACCCCAAAAAAAAAGTTGACAAACTGAAAAAGTTGACGAGAGTATCTTCCGCCACTTATACTGGAACCTATGAAACCCTTGAAAAAAAGGCTGACAATAGTGACTGAGTTTCTTGCGCTGCTTCTTCTCAGCACTGGTCCATTTATTGTCCCGAAGCAGTGGTAGGGTTAATAGAAGTAGACGTGTAGAAGTGCTTTTCAACCGACTTCAAAAAAGGAGGAGGTTCTCAATTCGACCCGTATGTTCTTTTTTTCTATGTTTGTTACGCGATAACTCCGTCAATTATGAACCGATTTGAACAAATCTTTTTTCGGCGTATAGGTAATACCTCAAGGGTGGTCCCATTTAAATTTAATAATAAAAAAACGACCCCCAACGGTGGAAAATTGGGGATGAACTTTTTTATACGCAATATCTCCGCCGATTATGAACCAATTTGAACGATTATTTTTTTGTTGAATAGGTATTATCAAAATTTTTTAATTTTTAGTTTTTTTTTGTGTTCACGCATTTGAAGTCCGTTATATTTTTTTTTAAGTTATTAAAAGCCTACTCGCAAACATAAATTAGTTTTATGAGTTTGTTTATGAGTGGCAGAGCAAGCTATGGGACGTGTATAAGTGCCCTGGATAGGGCCTATGTACTGAATAAACTACACTGGTCATCATAAAAATATTACCATTTAAAAGCCTAGTTCTAAACTTCATTTCATTAAAGGAAATGTTTTTACCCCAAAAATGTGTCTTTAGAAGAATCCAGAGTCACTTCTTCAAAAAATAGGTAGTTACGCTTGAGCCAACTTTTATGGCTATAAAACTGTTAAGTTGGGATTAATCGCTATCCATCTGTTAAAGAGGACACGTGAGATCATTATTTGGTTTTATAACCATAAAAATTGGTCAAATTGATCCCAGAGGTGAGCCCAAAGTGAGATCTTTTTTCAAGTTTTTCAAGTCACATTTATTGTAGGTATATGTTAATCGTTTATTAAGAAATTAAATGTGTTTTTCTTTAAGGATATTTATTGGGCTTTCAAATAACACCAATATTGTTGGGGCACCATGATTGTGTCAGTAGAAACGAGTTTTCCTGTAAAACGTAGGTGGGCCGATTTTTGTGATGACCAGTGTATTTGGATTTGAAAAAGTTTTATCGATCTTAGTTTTGATAGAATCGAAATATTTTAGGCTGCATTTGAACTATCGATGAATAAATCGATACACCATCGATTATGCGGCAACACTAATCGATTATTTGGACTTATCTACAGGAGAGCACAGCATACAAGACGGCGCCGTACAAATGCGTCATCTGCTTCAGAGGATTCCTAGTTGCTGAAAGGTATAACGCGCACGCAGTCAGACATAGCGAGGTCAGTGAATAGGCTAGCTTCCTAAAAAATTTTTTTTAGTCCGTCATGTTTAAAAATATTGGACACATATATTTTTATTTGTCAATCTAACAAATAATTACATAGTTATGGTGCGTTGAAGTCCCGCGCGACGTCACAACGTGCGGCACTTTTATGCACGCATTGACGTCACGGGCCTCTTCTTTTGAACTTTGGCGCGCTTTATTTCTTTAAATTTTCATTAGTTTGAAAAAGTGAAAAATACGTGTAGAGTATTTTTTGATAAGTTAACTGACGGACTACTTAACGGACGGACTTGCTTTTTGACCCAGGAAACATCCCTATTCTAAAGTCAACGTATTAAGGCTGGGTTCACCATCTTGCTTTAACTTTAACATACGTCAAAAATCGTATAGGCGTCATGGTCCAATTCGCAGTTAGTCCAAACGTGAAAAATTTACAAATTCGCGATTAGCCCAATTCGCGATTGGTCTAATTCGCTATTGGTACATTTCACGACCTGTCCAATGAGGGCTATCGTTTTAGCGCTCACCAGTTAGCGCCACTGTAGAGTAAGGTCCTGTCACTTGCTAGTAGCGAAGACAGTGGCACCAACTGCTGAGCGCTAAAGTGATAGGAGGACTATCGCATTTGCACTCATCAAGATGGCGCCACTGTAGAGTAAGGTCGTGTCAATCGCCAGGGGTGCCAACTGTTAAGTATAAAAACGATAGCCCTCATTCGCTATTGGTCCAATTCGTAATTGGTCCAAAATAAAAGGATATCCAAAATGAAAAAATAAGGTGGTTATTCAACTTTACTACTATTGCAGAAAAAAGCGAATTGGTCCAATTACGAATTGGACCAATAGCGAATTGGACCAATCGCCAATTGGACCAATCGCGAATTTGTAAATTTTAAAAATCTGTCAATCTCCATACATTAATTATTTATTTAAAAAAGCACCGGTTATCGTCATAGTCACCGTTAATGTTAGGTGGTGCAACTCAGCCTAATTGTCTATAGCTGTTGCAGGGCTTCCCAAACCTTTGGGAACTTGCCAATTTTTGCAACGACCATGATCAATTTTTATTATAAAATAAGAACATAATCCAATGAAAAATAAAACGGGATATATGTAGTGCATTGCCACTTCAGCTTGCTAATCCGTCGGGTTTTTGATTGCCTCATGACGATTTTGGGATAATACCGCGAGATTCTTTACTGAGCCCCGATTACGGTAACTTTTAACGTCTACAATCCAGACACGCTTCATCGATTCTGCGATACGATTGGTCAAAACAGCTGACGTACGCTGTTGAACGACCAATCGTATCGCAGAATCGAGCAGCGTGTCTGGATTGTTGACGTTAAAAGTTACCGTAATCGGGGCTCTGTCATCTGTATCTGTCGGCCGTTTGGTATAGTCGTTCTAAAACTGAGTACTATTCCGAGAGGTCCCGGGTTTGATTCCCGGCCGGGCAGAAATTGAAGTGATGATGAATTTTAATTTCAGTGACGGGTCTGGGTGTTACTATAATATGTAATATGTATGTATTTCGACATCACATACCGATAGTCCTCTCGACATTCTCTATCGACAGTTTAGCATCTCTAGGTCACGCTCCTAAATTAGAATTTATCTCATAATTACTTATTTAACCCTTTATCAGTTGTGGGAATATAGTTCCCACCATAATACCGATTCTACTAGGGACCGGAATTCGTTGCCTGCTGCTGTCTTTCCCGAAGACTATAATCCGGACCTTTTCAAAGCGAGAGTGAATAGGCACTTACAGGGCAAGCTATGCACCATCCTAGTTTGCATCCCACTTAACACCAGGCGCGATTGCGGTGAAATACTTACCACCAATTAACTTTATTCCCTTGTCTTAAGGTACAAAAACAATGAAAGGTTAAAGGCTTAATTAATTAACCATTAATTTGTTTAACAGCAATGCGGCGCGTACGAGTGTTTCATATGCAAGACTCGCCTGAAGACCAGTCGCGCTCTAAGGAAGCATCTCACAGCACAACACACAGAGAAGTTTAGTTGCAAAGGATGTCCCTTCGTCACTAGAAACAGGTACCGTATTATCACCAATGATGATGATAATCACAACTACCATCATCGTCATAGGGACTTAAAGCCCGGTCTGCGAGCACGTAGAATTTTGTCCAATGACCCCAAGCTACCCATCATTATCGCTCGCGCGTAATTATATTGCTGTCGCGACTGTGCGACGGGCGCCCGCAGTGAGTGTGCGAGCACGACAGCAACATAATTACGCGCGAGCGATAAGGATGGGTAGCTTGGGGTCATTGGACAAAATTCTACGTGCTCGCAGACCGGGCTTTAGACACAGTCTCGCCTGAAGACCAGTCGCGCTCTAAGGAACCATCTCACAGCGCAACACACAGAAAAGTTCAGCTGTAAGGGATGCCCCTTCGTCACTAGAAACAGGTATTGTCACAAATGATGATGATGATGATCACCACTACCATCATCATCATAGGGCTTTAGAACTTGACGTGGCTACCACATCGTCACCAGGATTAGATCACCATCTGATGATGATGATTCATCACCATTATCATCATCATCACGCCCTTAGACGTAGGAAATAGATACAGTGTTGCTTGGAGACTGGCTGTACCCTTAAGAAGTATCTTTCATCATTAGCGTCATCATCATCATCCTAATTTGCTTTTCGTCACTAGAAACAGGTATCTTCACCAGTGATCTTGATAACTGTCATCTTTTGTAGTTATTTTAGGTACTGTTTTCGAATGATACTGTGAAACAGTATAATAAAATTTGTTTCTTTTCAGAGGTGTAGCGAGGGAGCATGAAAAATGGCACGCGGGCGCGCGCTACCAATGTCCTCACTGCCCCAGCGAGTTCGAGTAAGTATATAAAAAACTCGTATTATCCTAGGGCCGCACACATCGGGATAACCCGAAGATTCGCGCTATTGTGATGTTCGTAGCCAAGGTTCGCGTATACAGGGTGGAATTTTGTAATGCCACCTGGAGGGAAAGTACTCTTAATACTGTAGATAGAAAAATTTACTCAAAGAAAACATTCCTTTATTTTTTAAAAGAAATAGAACTGCATTCAACGATTTCTGATTTTTTTCGAAAATTCACTACTATACCATAAAATTTTCTGTAAATAATTTAAATAATGTAAGATTTTATGGCTTTCCTTTCATTTGATTTATCAAGTTTGTTAGAGAGATTTCATCCTTATACTTCACCCTAACGATCGATGCAATAAAATACAGTTAGTTGGCTCGATTCCTGGGTATGGCAAGCAAATTTTTGAAAATATTTGAATGCAGTTCTATTTCTTTTAGAAAATAAAGGAATGTTTTCTTTGAGTAAAATTCTCTATCTACGGTATTAAGAGTACTTTCCCTCCAGGTGGCATTACAAAATTCCACCCTGTATATCGGTGCCTTTTGCATAGTCGCAAGTCTTGTATCAATGTCATCACGATGTGTGTGACCCAGCGTTTACAAAATAACACTCAAAACTAAATCTCAGTTGACTATCCTGTAATAGGTCTAAAATTCTAAATATTGAAATTCAACCAGTCAAAAGACTTGATCTATGCTTGAAATTGAATTGAGTTTTTGAGTCCAAAATAAGATGACAATTCTGAAAGATTACATCATAAAGTTATGCATAATCTCATACTTTATTGACGAGTCCCACCCATTTAGTAAAGTGCTACTCATATTTGTTCTGGCGTTTACTACACGCATTTAAAAATATAACCCTTCTTTTGACGCCGTCGGGTAAGAAAAACGGTCGTGCTCCTGCAGACATGATGGAACTACGCTATACACCACTAAATTTTAATCACCGAAAAAAAAAATTCTGGGTAATGAGTTATTGATACTGATCCCATTTGTGCAAAAAAAAGAGTTAAATAAAGTGACTCAAAATATCCTCCTAAAATTGGTAATTTATTGACACACGCGTCGCTAGCACTATTTAAGTACGATAATGTAACACTTATTAGAATTAAAAATGGTCTAAGTTAGCTAAGTATGTAATAATAACACTGGAAGCGTGGTCGAGGCGTGAGCGAGACAGACAGATCGATGCAACGTGCGAGCGCGTACGACTACTCTAGCGAGCAGCGGAGTGACCCAGCTGTGACGCGTAAAATACGGACTAACGAAAATTTAATTAAAAAATTAACTTCATGAAAACCATTTCTTTTGCTTTCAATATTCCACACGTTTCTAAATAACCTGTTAAAATTTTTTTCGGTGATAAAAATTTAGTGGTGTATATTAAAACATTTTTGTTTACAGCAAACTAACAACCTACATGGGCCACATACGAATCAAGCACGTCTCAGATTTCGTTTGTGAGCTATGCGGGTTTACGTTCGTCAGCAAAAAGGGCATTGAAGTACATAAAAAGAAGAAACACAGGCTCTCGGATAAAACGGTGAGCTTTAGTTTAGTTAAATTAATAAAATAAATGCTTGATAAAATCTGCCTTAGATGGAATGGATGAAATCAATTTCCATCGTAAAGTGTAGTAGGGTAGTTGGCGAATATCGATTATTATTATCAATTCATAGATTATGAAAACCAGTTTTGAAAAATTTGCGTGAAAACCGGTTTTTCGGTTTTAGTGAAACCGGTTTTGTGATATAGCACAAGCTTTGCTGAGTTTGGGACAAGATGGCGCAGAAATGTCACAAGGATAATTTTATTATTTACAGGTTCTTGAGATTAATTAGATAATTCCTGGCAACTAGTGGTGACTGAGTTTGTTCCGGCGTTTCTTCTCAGCACTTGCCATATGTTTGTCTCGAAGCGCTGGTAGGGCCCAAAAAGATGAGACATGTAAAGTGCCCCTTATGGGATACTTTTTTTTACTGTATTTGACGTTCATAAGTGGCACCAGTGGTCATCATCATTATCATCATCATCTCAGCCATAGGACGTCCACTGCTGAACATATGCCTCCCCCAATGCTTTCCATGTTGCCTGGTTGGTAGCGATCTGCGTCCAGCTCTTCCCTGCTACATTTATGATGTCGTCGGTCCACCTTATGGGTCGTTCCACGCTGAGTTTTCCGTTACGCGGCCTCCACTCCAGAACCTTGCTGCCCCATCGGCCGTCAGTTCTGCGTACTATGTGCCCTGCCCACCAGTGGTCAAAATGAGGGTTTTCGCGAATGAAAAATCCGCCAGATGGCAATACGTAGACGCGAGGTCCAAATGCTGCACGATTGGTTATTTTTGACATGACATTGACAGATATATCAAAATCCACCAATCACGCAGCAGTCAGACCCCACATCCACGTCCCGCCATCTAGCGGATCTTTCATTCGCGAAAACCCTCATTGAGTATTTATGTCACTAAAGAAAGAACCATTTAGTTTGGGACAAAATGGCGCAGTGTAAAATGTCCAAAGATATTTATTTAAAGGTTCTCCAAGATACATGATGATTGTTTTATATCACAGGTGCCGCTAGAAGGTCCGTATTGCTGCGTGTGCGACGTCACATTTGTATCGGAGGAAGCGCACGCGCGTCATCTCAAACTGTCTTCCAAACACAGCAGCGACAATGACCCGTAAGTTTATAATATTCAACACTTAGGTATTCTACCCACAAGGTGGACCGACGACCTCGTAAAGGAAGCAGGAAGGCGCTGGATGCAGGCCGCTACCAACCGTGCGATGTGGAAGTCATTGGGGGAGGCCTATGTTCAGCAGTGGACTTATGGTTGAAACGATGATGATAAATACTAAAGCCTGGTCCGTGAGCACGTAGAATTTAGTCCAATGACCCCAAGCTACCCATCCTTATCGCTCGCGCGTAATTATATTGCTGTCGCGCCTGTGCGACGCGCGCCCGCAGTGAGTGTGCGAGCGCGACAGCAACATAATCACGCGCGAGCGATAAGGATGGGTAGCTTGGGGTCATTGGACTAAATTCTGTCTGCTCGGACCGGTCTTTTTTACCTTACAGGAATTTTTATGAGCTATCAAACATGACTCTCTACTATAGATTTGGTATTTATTTTGGTAACTGTATTGTGTAGAAGGTAGATATGTAAAAAGCCTAAGAGTAGGCGCACACCGTTGATTTTTAGTTGGCCGATAGTTGTGCCCGATTTTAAATTGTATGAAGAATCGGCCAAATCGAATCGGCGTAGTGTGCGCACTCCCATACATGCCCATACTGATCAACTGCCCGACCAAACTATCGGCCGACGAAAAATCAACGGTGTGCGCCTACTTTAAGTGTGTGTTAGCGACGTCAAAGAGAGTCAGAATTAATGTTGGCAACATCATGTCAATTAGTTCAAATCAACTTTATAAACCAATTTGAACGATTATTTTTTGTTGAATAGGTATTATTAAAAGAGTGGTTTCAATTTCATGCGAATTTGAAGAAAATATTTCACCCCCAAGGGTGGAACATTGGGGTGTAGCGTTATTTTTATCTAGATATAAATAATCGCCAACTTAAGTTAAAATTAAATAAATATTTTAAATTAAATAACTACTCATTAAATAAAACAATTTCTTATAAATAAAACATTGATAAAATAATACTCTTATAATAGTAATAATATCTGTACAAATTGATTACAACGTTTATCGATATTTCCGATTGCGGTTATCGACTGTACCGCATCTCTATTTCGTTTCCTTCAGCGATCAAGCGCACGAGGTTCACGTCGCGGCAGCCCGCGTCGGCCATTTTCATTCGCTCGGGACGTCGGAGTTGAGTAGACGCAGCGTTATTGTCGTCCGTGCTGTCAAACTTTCGTCGTAACGTCCCTAATTTTTACTTTAAATTTATTTGCCGTATCCAAAGAAAGATTATTAATAAACTCTGTGCGTGTGTATCCCCCACTTATTGGGGTTCACTGTACGAGCTTCGATCTGGCGAACATACCCTACGTCGTTGTCCTGCCAAGGATTCATCATCACCAGGGCAGTACCGCTCTGCACAGCAAGCCAAACCACCTTATCTCGGCCAACTTACCCACAATATCCCACAATATAGTATTAACTAACTATGCAATGTTACAAGAATAAACAAAATTTATTTTCTTTGTAAGTGTTGTGAATTATTTTAAAATTCCCACATTACAGGGGATGAACTTTTTTATAAGCAATATCTCCGCCGATTATGAACCAATTTGAACGATTATTTTTTTGTTGAATAGGTATTATTTGTGTTCACGCATTTGAAGTCCGTTATATTTTTTTTTAAGTTATTAAAAGCCTACTCGCAAACATAAATTAGTTTTATGAGTTTGTTTATGAGTGGCAGAGCAAGCTATGGGACGTGTATAATTGCCCTGGATAGGGCCTATGTACTGAATAAACTACACTGGTCATCATAAAAATCGACCCACCAGCGACAAGCACTTTCAAACGTATGCATCCCCACTTCCCACCAATATTACTATACTATATTACCATTTAAAAGCCTAGTTCTAAACTTCATTTCATTAAAGGAAATGTTTTTACCCCAAAAATGTGTCTGTAGAAGAATCCAGAGTCACTTCTTCAAAAAATAGGTAGTTACGCTTGAGCCAACTTTTATGGCTATAAAACTGTTAAGTTGGGATTAATCGCTATCCATCTGTTAAAGAGGACAAGTGAGATCTTTATTTGGTTTTATAACCATAAAAATTGGTCCAGTTGATCCCAGAGGTGAGCCCAAAGTGAGGTCTTTTTTCAAGTTTTTCAAGTCACATTTATTGATGTTAATCGTTTATTAAGAAATTAAATGTGTTTTTCTTTAAGGATATTTATTGGGCTTTCAAATAACACCAATATTGTTGGGGCACCATGATTGTGTCAGTAGAAACGAGTTTTCCTGTAAAACGTAGGTGGGCCGATTCTTGTGATGACCAGTGTATTTGGATTTGAAAAAGTTTTATCGATCTTGGTTTTGATAGAATCGAAATATTTTAGGCTCCATTTGAACTATCGATGAATAAATCGTTACACCATCGATTATGCGGCAACACTAATCGATTATTTGGACTTATCTACAGGAGAGCACAGCATACAAGACGGCGCCATACAAATGCGTCATCTGCTTCAGAGGATTCCTTGTCGCGGAGAGGTATAATGCGCACGCAGTCAGGCATAGCGAGGTCAGTAAATGAACAATTTGACACCATTCTCCGATAATTCGAAATCACAACTTTTCTAAAAAGACACTTCATTCTGGTCTTAAAAACTTAATTAATTTTTAATTACCTGTAAATTACGATTTTTGGTCGCATTGTAATTGAAAAAAGTAGTATAATTGAGTTGACAAAATAGTGACGTCACTTGCTTGTAGTGCCATACAAAATCTATGGGAGAGTTTCGTTTTGACAGTTTTAAAAAGTACGTCAATTGATTGGTGGTGTCAACATGTCTATTCTAAAGTCAACGTATTAAGGCTGGGTTCACCATCTTGCTTTAACTTTAACATACGTCAAAAATCGTTTAGGCGCTATGGTCCAATTCGCAATTGGTCCAAACGTGAAAAATTTACCAATTCGCGATTAGCCCAATTCGCTATTGGTCCATTTCACGATCTGTCCAATTTGCTATTGGTCCAATTCGTAATTGGTCCAAAATAAAAGGATATCCAAAATGAAAAAAAATAAGGAGGTTATTCAACTTTTACTACTATTGCAGAAAAAAGCGAATTGGTCCAATAGCGAATTGGACCAATCGCCAATTGGACCAATCGCGAATTTGTAAATTTTAAAAATCTGTCAATCTCCATACATTAATTATTTATTTAAAAAAGTACCGGTTATCGTCATAGTCACCGTTAATGTTAGGTGGTGCAATTCAGCCTAATTGGCTATAGCTGTTGCAGGGCTTCCCAAACCTTTGGGAACTTGCCAATTTTTGCAACGACCATGATCAATTTTTATTATAAAATAAGAACATAATCCAATGAAAAATAAAACGGGATATATGTAGTGCATTGCCACTTCAGCTTGCTAATCCGTCGGGTTTTTGATTGCCTCATGACGTCTTTGGGATAATACCGCGAGATTCTTTACTGAGCCCCGATTACGGTAACTTTTAACGTCTACAATCCAGACACGCTTCATCGATTCTGCGATACGATTGGTCAAAACAGCTGACGTACGCTGTTGAACGACCAATCGTATCGCAGAATCGAGAAGCGTGTCTGGATTGTAGACGTTAAAAGTTACCGTAATCGGGGCTCTGTCATCTGTATCTGTCGGCCGTTTGGTATAGTCGTTCTAAAACGGACTACTATTCCGAGAGGTCCCGGGTTCGATTCCCGGCCGGGCAGAAATTGAAATGATGATGAATTTTAATTTCTGTGACGAGTCTGGGTGTTACTATATGTAATATGTATGTATTTCGACATCACATACCGATAGTCCTCTCGACATTCTCTATCGACAGTTTAGCAAAACTGTCTCTAGGAGAGAATGTCTCTAGGTCACGCTCCTAAATTAGAATTTATCTCATAATTACTTATTTAACCCTTTATCAGTAGTGGGAATATAGTTCCCACCATAATACCGATTCTACTAGGGACCGGAATTCGTTGCCTGCTGCTGTCTTTCCCTAACACAATAATCCAGGCCTTTTCAAAGCGAGAGTGAATAGGCACTTACAGGGCAAGCTATGCACCATCCTAGTTTGCATCCCACTTAACACCAGGCGCGATTGCGGTGAAATACTTACCACCAATTAACTTTATTCCCTTGTCTTAAGGTACAATAGCAATGAAAGGTTAAAGGCTTAATTAATTAACCATTAATTTGTTTAACAGCAATGCGGCGCGTACGAGTGTTTCATATGCAAGACTCGCCTGAAGACCAGTCGCGCTCTAAGGAAGCATCTCACAGCACAACACACAGAGAAGTTTAGTTGCAAAGGATGCCCCTTCGTCACTAGAAACAGGTATCATCATCATTTCAGCCACAGGACGTCCACTGCTGAACATAGGCCTCCCACAATGACTTCCACATCGCACGGTTGGTAGCGGCCTGTATCTAGCGCCTTCCTGCTACCTTTATGAGGTCGGACCGGTATCATGATCATCATTGTCGGCCGTTTAGTGTATAGTCTTTTTCACCTAAGATGATCCGTATGACGTTTCGAGTTTGAAAGATTTAGAGATGTCACATAACTAAACCATAGCGATTTATCTATCGATTTTTTTTCGAAGAGTTAGTAAAACCTACTTTTAGAGAAATATTTTGTATAGATGTTATTTAACAAAAAACATGTTTTTTTTTAATTACAAATATTATTGTAACAATTTATTATTAATAATATTCAAATTTCATAGTTCGTGTTCAAAAAAACGATTCCTAAAAAGTACTGGTTCTGTTTCTTTAAATGAAAAACTATTAATTTATTTTCAATGCGTTTATTAAAGTCAATAATCGAAAAATACAGTTGATTTTTGTGATGTTTTTAATAACTAAGTATTCACTGCAATCGATTAATGAACCGCGGAAATAATCGATTTTATTATACAACAAATACCCCAGCACTAAATCTATTCCGTTTCACACATTGCGTACATTAAATAAAAAATATTTTTACATCGTATTTAATTAAAATATCATCAATAGACTCAGATTTTACTACATATTTCAAGACAAGTAGTTAATTTTTTTTTATTATATTGCTAATAAAATACAAATATTTTTTCAAAAATACTCTGCATAATTATGTAGTATGCGTAATATGGATAACCTTGAAGTGTCATACGGATCATCTTACGTGAAAAAGACTATAGTGGTTCAAAACGGACTACTATGCTGAGAGGTGCCGGGTTCGATTCCCGCCCGGGCAGAAATTTAAATGATGAATTTTGATATCTGTGACGGGTCTGGGTGTTTTCTATGTATATTAAGTACTAGCTGTGCCCGCGACTTCGTCCGCGTGGACTAATGACTTTGGGTAGGCACTTTTAATAATTTAGTCTAATTATTTTACAAAGGCCTATGTTCAGCAGTGGACGTCCTATGGCTGAAATGATGATGATGATGATTTTACAAATAGCTTTTGCCCGCGACTTTGTCCGTGTAGAAGTCGAAAAAGTTCTCATAGGATTTTTAAATGGTTTTTAACGTTATTATCTAAATGTTTGAATACTATTTGATCGTTTAAACACAGTGAATGATTCAATTACATAAAATTTTAATGATACTTTTCACGGCTTCGCTCTCATGAATGTTAACGACCGTCAAAAGCACGTCGATAGATGGCGGTCACTAATTTAGACTTTGATTTGCTCGTTTAAACACAGTGAATTATTCAATTACATAAAATATCTATAATGACTAAATTTTAAATATTATGAACAGTTCTATAAATGTAATATTTAGTTCCTAATTAGGACTAATGATACGTTTCACGGCTTCGCTCTCATGAATGTTTACGACCGTCAAAAGCACGTCGATAGATGGCGTTTTTAAGGATATTTCTCACCTCTTAACTATTTATTGAAATTTAGTTTGTCACATATCGTCATAAATTGTAGCCTATATATTAGCCTGGGTTATAAATAATAATACTGTAAAGTTTCAACAAAATCCGTTTATTAGTTTTTGCGTGAAAGAGGAACAAACATCCAGACATCCAGACAAAAAGGTTACAGTGAGCCAACCATAAAAGATAGACATATGCTGTAGCGGACTTTTTTGTAGAACTTTTAAAGGGGAAAATCCTATCATACATAATTTATGCGAAACTTTAACCGTTTACGCAGCGTCAGCTCTCAAAAGGAAAAAAATCACTGATTTGAAACATTCTTCATTGGTGCTCCGCTCCTAGTGGTCTTAGCGTGATGATATATAGCCTAAAGCCTTCAGGGATTAACGGACTATCCAACACAAAAAGAATTTTTCAAATTGGTCCAGTAGTTCCTGAGATTAGCGCGTTCAACCAAATAAACAAACTGTGATTAATAAATTGCGCCACTACAAACCGTACCAACAGATGGCGCTGTTACGATCTTACTATGGCAAACTTCACCGCGCATACAATCCTGCATCGCGGTGACGAAGTTTTTTACCATGCCCAGTATATATAGACAAACCAAGATTGTGTAAATTAAATGCTCTAACTCCTTATGGTGGTTGAGCGTCATGTTCCACAACTTCAGCTTTATAATATTAGTATAGATGTATTTACAAAAAAAAAGCATTTAAGTATGTTTATATCTGTTGTCTAGTACCCATAGTACAAACTTTGCTTAGTTTGGGACTAGAAGCGCAGTGTAAATGTCCAAGGATATTTATTATTTATTATTATTATCATCATAATAACCCTAGAATTACTAAGGACTTACGCCCGTTTTCACCACCAATCTCTAATGTTTAAGTGGCCCCTATGAAAACGAAATTCCTGTTATGTGTGTCCATAGAGGTCACTTAAAAATTAGGGATCGATGGTGAAAACGTACATTAGCTTAGCAGTCGTTCATTCAGGGAGGGCGCTTCCATCTTAAGATGGATTTTACAAGGCCAACAGTAAAGGTGGCTCCTAAGTCAAGTTGAAAGAGGTGGCCTTTTTCTTCATCATCATATTACAATGGGAATAACAGATAACGGGACTATTCCCACCTCTCGTTCCCACCACTGCAACTCCTGTGTAGCCAGGATCTACAGCTTGACCGCCAATAACCCAACCAATGAAGGTATAACGGATAAATAGTTTTGCTACTTGCCCTATATTTCACTTATCTTATCTATATATATAAACTAGCTGACCCGGCGAACTTTGTTCCGCCTTAATGGCAATAAATAAGCAGACTTTTTTTTTATTTCGAACGGGATAAAAAGTATCCTATGTCCTTCTGGCTCTATATACACTCAGCGGCACGGAATTTGGCCCAAGCCTAAACACCCAGATATGAGGCTAAATAGGTGTTGTATACCTAAGTTTCGTGTGACATGTTAACAGAACATTTGTTTTTGTTAATTGAAGAGGCTAGATTAATAAAAAAATGCGTCTGTTTAACTTTTTTGACTATAGAAACGCATTTCGTTGTTGGAGCGTAAAGAGTACGAGTAAGTTTCAATTCGATATTAAATGTTGTAAGGGTTTGGCGTTTTGTTTTTTGTTTTTAAATTAATCTTAGGGTTATTCTTGTATCCAAAATTTGAGAATAATGCCCATTACTCCAGCTCAAGTTGCTCAAATAGTGTTGCTTAGAAGTCAAGGGCGTATGCAGCGGGAGATGGCTGAAACTTTCAATTTATGGCGTACAAACTTAAGATACACCTTAAAAAGGCATGACCAGACCGCCTTTTACACAAGAAGACCAAGAAGTGGGGAATTAAGGTGTATGTCAGCGCGCGATGACCCGATTATCGTGCTTGCAGTATCAAGAAATCGAGATCTCACTACGTTTGATATACGCCAGCGTTTACAAACAGCAAGCCCAGTGAATATCAGTAAGCACACAATAAGAAGAAGAATGGAGGATCATAACCTGCATACTCGAAGACCAGCTCGAGGACCAGAACTTCTCCGATAGCTTCGCGAAGTGCGACTTAAGTTTTCTAGAGAACATGCAAATTGGACATTAGACTAATGGAGTAAACTCTTTATGAAAACTGTCTGTTTGCGTAGTAACTCTTCTCCGCACCTTCTCTATACACTTACATGGCCGTCTGGAGCTCTTAAGGTGACTCTGCAATCATCGATCCATAGAACTTTACTCCATTAGCCTTGCGTCTAATTTGCACACCCGAATTTAAACTTTTCGAATTTAAACACCCGAACGCCGCACAATATTTCTTTCTCTTTATGTCCATTTTTAAATAATACTTCGATCATAGAATTATAATCATACTACAACGCACGCCAGCGTCCTGACGAGCGCGCGCGTAACACTCGACTGATATAATACCCGCCGGCGGGGCGCTTCGCTGTAGGTAATTATCGGATGTACCGCGCGGAGTGAGCCAGGCCTGCCTTTAGGTGTTATTCAAAAAATAATACCATTTAAATAAATTACATAATGTTTCAGAGGTGTAGCGAGGGAGCATGAGAAATGGCACGCGGGCGCTCGCTACCAATGTCCACATTGTCCCAGCGAATTCGAGTAAGTACAAACATAAACATCACTTGCTTTCATATTTTATGCGTTTCTATGAATGTGCTCTTCGATCGAGAGAGCGATAATACCAACATAATAATTAAAGTTTTTTAAAGCAACTTTAAATACAATAGATCACAACTTTTTTAAAAGACACTTCATTCTGATCTTGAAAACTTAATTTATTTTAAATTACCTTTAAATTAAAATGTTTCATTTGCACTGTAATTGAAAAAAGTAGTACCATACAAAATCTATGAGTCTCGTTTTGACAGTTTTAAAAAGTACGTCAATTATTGTTTGCCACCTCAAATATCCTATTGTAATGTCATTGCAAGTTCCAATCTCAGCCTAATATGTTTTAATACACATGCACAATCACACAAAAAATAGGTAATTTGACTTTTAAAGAACACAATGAATATTTTCAATTGCAGTAAACTAACAACCTACATGGGCCATATACGAATCAAGCACGTATCGGACTTTGTATGTGAGCTGTGTGGATTCACATTCGTTAGTAAAAAAGGCATTGAAGTACATAAAAAGAAGAAACACAGACTTTCGGATAAAACGGTGAGTGACTAACGCCCGTATTCTATGATATATATTACTATGAGGTCTCACAGTGCGTGTGGACGCACACGAAGTTTGTGAGCGCGTTTAAACATCTACTTTATTGTATTAACTTGTCTCGGTGAATAAATGATCTTTTAATTATTTTTTTTAATCTTAATCTTCAAAAACAGTAGTTTTTCCAGCGGACTCCAGCGCTGTAGATTTTAATCTATGACGATAGATGGCGCTTTTTAGACAAAACGCTTTTCAACAAAATCCGTTCAGTAGTTTTTGCGTGAAAGAGTAACAAACATCCAGACATCCAGTTATCATGACATCCAGACATCCAAACTTTCGCATTTATAATGTTAGTAGGATATTTATTTATTTAAACTTTAGCACACATAGAAACAATGCACTGTGGCGGACTTAATGCCGGATGGCATTCTCTGCCAGTCAATCACGGGTCATACAGAAAGAGTAAGGCGGTGCAAAAAATTTACATTTAGAATAATATACTGACTTACATAAGATTACATACAATAAATGACATAATATCATCATCATCATCAACAGCCCTTTACAGTCCACTGCTGGACTATGAGCCTCCTCCACTATAGTGGAGGGTTTTGCCATAATCTCCACGCTTGGCAGGCGGGTTGGAGATCGCAGTTTAAAAGATTGATGTTTTTCAGAGAGCGCTGCTGCCCATTCTCTGTTTGATGTGTAGTCCCTAAGTCGCCTCTTACGACACCCGCGGGAAGAGTAGGGGTTGGTGACAAATGACATTTGACATTTGACATAATATAAAGAAATATAATAGACATACACATAATAGTATTATAGATGCATATTACGAGCTTTGCTTAGTTTGGGACAAAATGGCGCAGTGTAAAATGTCGAAAGATATTTATTTAAACTCCCTCACAGATGGATCATGATTGTTTCATATCACAGGTGCCGCTAGAAGGTCCGTATTGCTGCGTGTGCGATGTCACATTTGTATCGGAGGATGCGCACGCCCGTCATCTCAAACTGTCTTCTAAACACAGCAGCGACAATGACCCGTGAGTTTATAATAGACTAAGAGCTAGTGAACGCCAGACCTACGTCATTTTATAAAAGCTGAAAGTTTGTCAACGTATGCTCCCAATATAGGATACAATGTTGGTGGATCATGAAGTTTGGGTCATCGTGGCTTTGGCAGCTATCCTAAAAAACTGTCTGGCAAGGAGTTGGAACTGTCAAAACTGTCTGCCAAAGGCTTGATGACCAAAACTTCATGATTCACCAACATTCTATCCTATATTGGGAGCATACGCTCACAAACTTTCAGATTTTATAAAATGATGTAGGTCTAGCGTTCACTGGCTCTTAGTCTATAATATTTAACACTTCCATGTATTCTACCCACAAGGTGGACCGACGACCTCGTAAAGGAAGCTGGAAGGCGCTGGATGCAGGCCGCTACCAACCGGGCGATGTGGAAATCATTGGGGGAGGCCTATGTTCAGCTGTGGACTTATGGTTGAAACGATGATGATAATATATTCTAAAGCCCGGTCTGTGAGCACGTAGAATTTTGTCCAATGACCCCAAGCTACCCATCCTTATCGCTCGCGCGTAATTATGTTGCTGTCGCGACTGTGCGACGGGCGCCCGCAGTGAGTGTGCGAGCGCGACAGCAACATAATCACGCGCGAGCGATAAGGATGGGTAGCTTGGGGTCATTGGACTAAATTCTGTCTGCTCGGACCGGTCTTTACCTTACAGGAATTTTTATGAGCTATCAAAACATGACTCTACTATAGATTTGGTATTTATTTTGGTAACTGTATTGTGTAGAAGGTAGATAGATATGTAAAAAGCCTAAGAGTAGGCGCACACCGTTGATTTTTAGTTGGCCGATAGTTGTGCCCGATTTTAAATTGTATGAAGAATCGGCCAAATCGAATCGGCGAAGTGTGCGCACTCCCATACATGCCCATACTGATCAACTGCCCGACTAAACTATCGGCCGACGAAAAATCAACGGTGTGCGCCTACTCTAAGTCTAAAATTATTAATATCCATTATTTTCCATTTATTACAGAAACCGAATAAGAAACGACTCGCAAAGCATCAACACGGAACGCAATGGGCGCGTCATGAGAAAAATAGAGCGGCGGCCCGTCATACACGCGCCCTCGCCTGCCCAGCCCGCCGGCGCCGGGCCCGTCACGTGCGAACAGGTAGGACCCCCGTCATGGACCCTGGACCCCCAGTGGGAGGGGGGCCGTGGACCCCCGTCTTAAGGGGCCATGGACCCCATGTGAGGGAGCCCGTGGACCCCCGTCTTAAGGGGCCATGGACCCCCAGTCTGAATGTGGCAATGGACCCCCGTTTGATTGAGGTGTGGACCCCCTGTGAGGGTTGCCATGGACCATCTTGTAAGAGGCGGTGGACCCCCGTGTGAAGGAACCATGGACCCCCCGTGTGAGGAGAGTTACCACACCATACATTATTCATCGACTCGACACAGGTAGCAACGGTCGCGTCATGCCCAAGATAGAGCGGCGGCCCGTCATACACGCGCCCTCGCCTGCCCGGCCCGCCGGCGCCGGGCCCGTCACGTGCGAGCAGGTAAGGCCGTGGACCCCCGTGTGTACCCTGGACCCCCATTGGACCCCCCCATATGATAGGCGATGGACCCCCGTTTGATTGGGTCGTGGACCCCCTTGTGATGAGAGTCATGGACCCCACATATGAAGGGGGTCGTGGACCCCTGTGTGAGGGGGGCCGTGGACCACCATTTGAGGAGGGCTACCACACCATAGAGTAGCTGCATCAAGGCAGGTCGCACCCAGGTGGACCCCCATATGGAAGGAGGCTGTGGACTCTGGACCCCCAGTAGGAGGGGCGTGGACCATGGACCCCCAGTGGGAGGAGCGTGGACCATGGACCCTAGTGGGAGAGGGGCCGTGGGCCCTGGACCCCCAGTAGGAGGGGGGCCGTGGACCCTGGACCCACAGTGAAATGGACCCTCATATAAAGGGAGGCGTGGACCTCCCGTGTGAGAGGCTGTGAAAGTGTGAACCCCCCATGTGATAGGTCGTGGACCCCAGGCCCAGGGGCCAGTTCACCATAGACAAGTGTCAAAATAGAGCGGCGGCCCGTCATACACGCGCCCTCGCCTGCCCGGCCCGCCGGCGCCGGGCCCGTCACCTGCGAACAGGTAGGACCGTGGACCCCCGTGTGTACCCTGGACCCCCACTGGGAGAGGGCCGTGGACCATCTTGTAAGAGGCGGTGGACCCCCGTGTGAGGGGGCCGTGGACCCTGGACCCCCATTGAGAGGGGGGCCATGGACCTTGGACGAAGTGGCCCCCATATGGAAGAGGGCTGTGGACCCTGGACCCCCAGTGAAGTGGACCCCCATATGGAAGGGGGCTGTGGACCGTGGACCCCCCGTGTGAGGAGCCGGTGGACCCCCGTGTGAGGTGGCCGTGGACCCCGTGTGATGGGCCGTGGACCCCCGTTTGATTGAGTCGTGGACCCCCACGTGTGGGGACCATATACCCCCCATGTGATGACCGTGGACCCCCCGTGTGAGAGGGGGCCCGTGGACCCCGTGTAAGAAGGCCAACATAGACTTACATGACACAGCGAGCCGGGCATGGGTTGCAGATTATGTGTCCTACTGTATGAAATAATACTTGGGGTATTTTTGCACCCCACCGTTAAAGTCTTAGGTGTTGTGGCGTTCAATGCACACCCATACGGGGTCAAAATTACTTTTTTACCCCACAGTTTAGAAGTCACTGTATATTATACTGGATATTTTTTTGGATTCTACTACATATTTACCGATAACATTTTTGGGGTAATTTGCACCCCACTTTTTTTTGTTATTTTACTGACTATTTTTTTGCAATTTCTTTTAGTGCGGGGTCCAGCTCCGCGATTTGCGTCTCTACGCGCAGCACTTCCGCCGCGCGCACCCCGACAAGAATCGAACCAAGTACCCCGCCATGAAGACGCCGTGCATGTGCGAACAGTGCGGCAGGATATTCCAGGTTCGTTGTCTCGCTCTACTAGAACTAGGATTGGTCTACATTATTGTCTGTCATTATTGTCATCGTCATTTCAGCTACAGGACGTCCACTGCTGAACATAGGCCTCCCCCAATGATTTCCACAATGGCCGGTTGGTGGCGGTCTGCATCCAGCGCCTTCCCGCTACCTTTATGAGGTCGTCGGTCCACCTTGTGGGTGGACGTCTCACGCTGCGCTTTCCGGTACGCGGCCTCCACTCCAGAACCTTGCTGCCCCATCGGCCGTCAGTTCTGCGTACTATGTGCCCTGCCCATTGCCACTTCATCTTGCTAATCCGTTGTGCTATGTCAGCGACTTTAGTTCGAAGCTGTGGTAGGCCTTAAATAAAAGCACTTAAAAAAGGTATTGGAAAAATAAGTTTCGTTTCGTTCGTTTTAGCCAAATGACGTCCACTGCTGGACAAAGGCCTCCCAAGGATTTCCACAAAGACCGGTCCTGCGCCGCCCGCATCCAGACACTTGAACCTTAAAAATTAGTTTAAAAAATTATGATATTTTTAGCTACATAGTTTTGAACCTTACCGTCCCACCCAAAAGCAATGCAAAATACACTTTCACCATATCAAATTAAAGCTCAATTTCCTTCCAGAGCATGGCGCTCCTAAAGGACCATATGTGGGTTCACACGGGCGAGAAACGATTCAAATGCGACCGATGCGAGAAGAGTTTTACTCAGAAAACTAATTTGGTCTTCCATATGAGGGTGCATGGCGCTTCGAGACCTACGTACGAATGTCCGCTGTGTGGGAAACACTTTGCTTTCTATAATAATAGAAGACGACACATGTTTGTGAGTATCTTATCTATCTACCTTTTTATTTAGCGCTGGGGTCTGAAGTCACCCCACTAATTTTAAGCGTGGGGTATTAGTGCACCCCAACAGTTGTGGTTGCTCACTATGTTTCACTCAGAAGACTAACCTTTTAAATGTAAGCTTTGTATTGTCTTGTTATATGTGTGTTAATAAAGTTATTCTTATTCATGCTTGTACCTGGAAGTATAAGCGTATCTTGCACTGGGGTATGAATGCACCCTATCAATTCGAGGAGAATGAATGAGCTGTAATGATTTGTTTCAGATCCACACCGGCCTCAAGCCTTTCAAGTGCGAGACGTGCGGCAAATGTTTCACGACCGCGGGTGAGCAGAGAGCCCACGTAGAACATGTGCATTTGAAGAAGCCGTGGCCTAAACGCGCGCGCGGACAACGCGGCCCGAGGGACCCCGCGCCGTGGCAGAAGGGGCCGCTGCATGAAGACTAGGACTGGTAGGGAATAAGTCGCTTGGGGTGCGAAAGCACCCCACCAATGAATATAGCAGAAAATGCTGTTGCATCAAGACTAGCGGTCTACATACTGATGGGGTAACTTGCCACCTCACTGGCTAAATACTCACATGGAGAGCTTATACACCCCCTTACTAAATAGTGACATGGTGTGCTTAAGCACCCCCTTCCAATTAGTCGTATGCGGTACGAATGTAGTTCACTCTGCTACGGGGGGTAGCAACTAACTAAGATGGCGATCCAATACTCAGGCCTTCGACAATAAGAATCTCAAATAAAAATTAGCATCTCGAATTCTAGACTACGAAATTTATCCTATTATACTTTTGCATTCCAAACTAAATACTCGTGTGGGGTACGTAGGGACCCCACAAATGGTCTGAGAGTATAATAATATACTGATGTGCGATGTTATTTAATGAATGGAATTAAGAATAGTGTGTCTATATTAAACGAATGTATTTATAAGATTTAGCTATAAACTGCCTTATAACCGTAGGCATTTGTAAAAGTATTATCCCAACTAATATTATAAATGAGAAAGTAACTCTGTCTGTCTGTCTGTCTGTCTGTCTGTCTGTCTGTTACGCTTTCCCGCTTAAACCTCGCAACCGATTATGATGAAATTTGGCATAGAGATAGTTTGAGTCCCGGGAAAGAACATAGGATAGTTTTTATCCCGGTTTTTGAAACAGGGACGCGCGCGATAAAGTTTTTCTGTGACAGACAAAATTCCACGCGGGCAAAGCCGCGGGCGGAAAGCTAGTTTTCAATAATTTTGCGTCTCAACATTCACAAACTCATTTTTTTATAATTTTTATAACAATAGTGATACATAAATTAAGCTGTAGTACATAACTGTAAAAGTAAATATTCCTATTTTAATATTATAAAGGCGAAAGTATGGATGTCTGGATGTCATGATGTCTGGATGTTTGTTACTCTTTCACGCAAAAACTACTAAACGTATTTGGTTGAACAGTATTATTGTTTATAACCCAGGTTAACATAATAATATAGGCTATCATTTATGACGATATGTGACAAATAAATATCAATTAATAAATAAGACGTATCTAAAATGCGCCATCTATCGTCATTGGTTAAAATCTACAGCGCTGGACAAACTACTGTTTTTGACGTTCATAAAATATTCATGCGGGGAAAGCCGTGAAACGACGTCCACGCGTACGAAGTCGCGGGCGGCCGCTAGTAATAATATAATCGCAAACGTCTCTATAGTTGTAATTATGTATTTATTAAGTTGAGTATTACTTTATAAGACTCATTTACTTTATTTTAATTACTCTTTAAATATTTATATTTGACTGGGAGATAATGCCTCCATGTTTATTCATAAATTGTACAACTTTTTGGTACAATAAAAAGAATTAGGTTTTATTTAGTATACTCGAAGACCGGTTTTAGATAAAGATGGTATACTGTACGCCAATGTAATGTAGAAATTATTATAGTAATAATAACATTATTAATAATAAGATGTAAATTATAATATTGAGATTAGAACGAATCGAATAATTTATAAACAGATCTCAAGGAATGATATTAACAAGAGATTATTTTTTTCGTAACTTATTTCTAGCTTACGGCGAGTTGATTTTTATAATATGTCCGAGTTAAGAATAGGGTAGTGGACACCCTAGTCAATGAGGGTAATCGTTTTTATAGATAGTTTCATCCACTCGGCCGCGCGCAATGTTTGGTCTCGGTCGCGCGGGCGCGGGGAGTGTGGTCCGAGCAAGCCGTAAGGCATTACTGTAGTGTGCGTGTGCACTCATGGAGCATTAGCGTGGACCGATAACACGAGAACAGCAGCGGAAGAATGCTGGGGCGCGTCCGAGTGGATGAAACAGTGTTGCCAGTCGGGTCTTGTCAGAAATTACCAGAAATATGAAAAAAAGTAACCTTTTTGAATAAAAAGTAACCTTCATACTGTGGGGGGGGGGGGGCAATGTTCATGGATGGAAAATGAATACAACAATTGATACAACATACAACAATTTGATCATCGATCGTTTACCTAAATTTAAAAATTTGACCATTCCATGAAGACCGAAAAGTGACCGGTCGCGGTCGTATAAAAACGTTTCATGGATTTGCGTTTTATTATCGAAAAACATTCGCTAAATCTCATTTTTTTTAACAAATAATAAATCTACATGTTTAAATGCAGTTTATGACATAATTTTTCAATTGTCACTATTATATTTTACTGATTAACCTGTAAAAGTTAATTCTACAATTTCTGAAAAATCACCTAAAAGTAACCTTTTCATTAGTGTAACCTAAAAGTAACCAATGCAGTTCAAAAGTAACCTAAAAGGTTACAAAAGTAACCTTCTGGCAACACTGACTTCAAGATTTGTAACAGTGTTGCCAGTCGGGTCTTGTCAGAAATTACCATAAATATAAAAAAATGTAACCTTTTTGAATAAAAAGTAACCTTCTTACCGGGGGGGGGGGGNCGGCACATCTCTAGATGTACCTAATTGATCTAACCGATGACCTAACCGTTTGTTAGCTGGATCGGTGTACAACATTTTTTGGTTGTTTCTGGATTCGCAACATCTTTGAAACAAAGTATTACGAAAATATAGTCTAAATCGAACTTTTTTAACACGCTTTTTAATACAACAAACATTATTTTATTCTCAAAAAAATATTTTTCATACTTAAACTCCTACGGAAAAAGTTCTTTATTTTCTTCAGGAAAAGTGCTTCCCACTCATACAAAAATCTAAAATAAAACAATTAAGTACGAGAAGAACTTAATCTTCTTATACCTTTCCTTGCTCCTTAGCTCGGCTAATTTACCTCCTTCCTACGCAGTATTGGCCCTTATTTTCTTAAAAAGATTAACCGTGCTAACGATCTACTTCTTAGTGGGACTAAAATAACTATTTTGAAGTTAAGCTGTTTAACAAATTAGGACATTATCTCATTAGGGACACTGTTATTTTCTTTATTTCCTTATAAAATGTTCACATTGACGCAGACTCAAGATTATTCTATACCTACCCTACTACCTACCTTTACTTTCTTCTTCATCAAACGGGTGTAAAGCAGGTGCGATTTTGCAACAAAAATGTGTAGTCTGATGATTAGATCCCCTTAATTTTTTTTTAAATCCCCTTGTACTAAGTAAAATATGCTTATGTCACGAGTAAGCTCACCACAATAGTCGAGCGGCGGCGGGGACCGAAAGATCACTGACTCATAACGAAATCTCAGAAACTACAAATGCTAGGGGTCTTAAATTTTGCATAGGGGTTCCTTTTAGAACGTAGGTGCTCACTAAGACAGGATTTTGCAAAATTCAACCCCTAAGGGGTTAAAACGGGGTCCACGCGTACGAAGTCGCGGGCAGCCGCTAGTGGTTAATATAGCAGAAGAAATAAAGAGCGTCATATGTTAACCGAATTCCAAAGCTAATACAAGGCCCAAGATTAAAGCTCTTCCAGAAAACTTGCTAAGCTTTCTTGTTTGTACATAAGTAAGTACTCTACTTAGGGACCCCTGAGGAAGTTGGGAATGCTTATTTATGTATTTCTCTTAATGTACAGTTTGACCCACTTGCTGACTCGTATGACAGAAGTTATTTGCGAATTTTCCAAACTAAGTAACAGTCATTTTCAGAATATTTCAAATGGATCCGTAGGAATGAATAAAGATTTTGTGTATCGAAATCCCACGATTTCTTAAATTTAGAATTTCTTTTGTAATTTGTAACTTATAAGGGCTCCTTCCCGGAGACATCCCGTTTTTTGCAGGACTGTTTTTGCAAGATCCGTGTTTTAATATTAGCATTCACATGAACATCCCGTTTGTAGAATCCCGCAAAAAATCTAACGGTTTAGGGATTCGAATTTTAAACACACTCTTGTGTATAATATAAGATTTTAAGAGTCTGCTTGTGACGACGGCTGCAGCATCGCAGCCGAAACGTCAAGCCGTGAGTACATAATGTAACTCATTAATAAACGTCGCGTTAAAACCCGTGTCTTACTATTTTACACACTTTTGTGTTCACAAGACAGTCCAGTTTTGCGGGATACCGCATTACTTTGTGGAAAAGAGCCCTAATAGATTTTACACTGTCATTCTTTTTCGAATAGCAGGTATTTGATACAAGCGAAACCGAAAGCAAAGCACTGAGTCTAATAATAATTCAGATATTTCAAGAGAAACTAGATTAGATCCAATAACCTTCATATTTTGTATAAAACAGTATAAGTTATAGAGTAAACATCTGCATTTCAACAAACCCAGACACATTTTTTACCTATCCTCAAAATATTTTAGAGATTTCAACGTAACATTTCTGACATTTGTGTTCAAACTGAATTATACAAATTATGACACTTTAAAAAAAGAAACGATGTGTAGATGTAGATGACCCAAGCTGTACTGTGCCACCAAACTCAATGACAGGAGGGCGCTACCATCGTTCAACTATATGGTTTCCAATATGGCAAAAATCGGAACCAGCGATCCGGTATTGACGGTGGCGCCCCACTGTCAATGTCATGTATAGGACAGTTCAGTATTTTGGAACTATGTATACTATAGAATACTTATTATTGAGGTACAATATTTTATTACTTGTAAAACTGAAATGCCTCCCCAATTCGTCTGGCCAGCGTGGGGAGTGTAGGCCAAATCCTCCATTTGCGTCTGGTAAACTAGAAATAGTCATGCTCCTGCAGTGAAGACTGAATGACCTGATGATGATGAGTCGTTTCAGCCAATTGACGTCCACTGCTGGACAAAGGCCTCCCCCAAAGTTTTCCACAATGAACGGTCCTGCGCTGCCCGCATCCAGGCTCTTCCCGCGACCTTTACCAGATCGTCGGTCCAGGTCCGGTTCGGGAAGCTTCGCCATATCCCTTTTCTTGGCATTGTGCATTTAAAGATACGTTGACCAAAACAGAAATATGGAGGAGAAACCAAATACTTTTTTCAAATGTTTTTTAAATATAACGTTAGCCCAAATACTACAGATTGTGTTACACAGTATAGAATCGCTACAGGCTGCACAGATTTAACAGTAATAAGCAAAATGTCAGACCGTTGACAGGCGTCTACGCACCGGCTGATAATTTTTATTATTTTCGGTGTTTTTTTAAAAGAATATTGGTGATTATTTCTAGTAATATGGATAGTAAATAAATGCTTCTTGATGATAGTGCTGTTTATTCAACCTAAAACTTGTATAATTATTCTGTACGATGCGGATTGTCCGAATGTATCTAGAAATGCACATTGTCAGATACGTTATGATTTACTTTCAATTTTGAATGTATCTTTAAAGACACACCGCCAGGTTCCCGTTAACTTTATTTTGTGGGTTTTTCATAGATTTTATCGCATAAAAAAGGGATTATGTTATTAGTTAATAATATTAAAAGCTGTAAATTATAATTTGTGATGTGAGTTTTAATTCATGTAATAAAAAATAGTTGTTTTTTGGACAGTTTAGTACATCAGCAACAAAACCAGGCGCGCAATATCCTAGTTCCGGTTCCAAAATCTGGAACCAGGTCGAAAGTCAGTAGCGGTGACACTTCAGCTGATGAATTAGAAACCGCTCTTAGCCTCCTTGATCCTCTTGGGTGGTTATCTTCCTATTCCAAACAAGCCAGATCACCCCAAAAAGCGAGCAGCCTATCCAGGCTGCTACATGTATCTGGTTATAAAGCTGGTGATTGAAGAATTTCAGCCAGTTCGACTGCTGAATCGTTTCCCAGGGAGTTCCAGAGATCCATTTCCGCTATCTTGCGTTTCCACTGCAAGTTGGGTATCAAATTATCTTCAATCGAAAACGTGAACACAGTTCGGTACCAGTTGGCGTCAATACCCCTCGTATTTTTTTAATGGTCTTGCAGGATTCCCATATGTCCTATCTGCATTTGCATCTCCTGGATGGTAAGAGGGGTCTGCGATTCAGGAGGTACTCCAACGAAGCTGATGGAGTGGTTCTCATACATTCAAATGCAGCTATACTTGCAAGGAGTTACAGACTTTGAAGTGGTTTTTTTACTTTGTTTTCAGTTTTTTGTAAAAGATACTTATTTTTTATTTCTCAAATAAGGTATAGCTTAAGGTTTTGTAGTAATTTTCATTTAAGTAACTTATTTCTACTAACAAATAAACCATGTTTTAATTTATTACAAAGCTGGCAATGTGCACTTAAAGATACATACTATATTTCCAAAACTAGATACCTAAGATTTTTTTTCGTATTTTTTACATGATTTTTACTCGTCCTAAATCCAATATTTACAGTATAAATCACAAATATTAACCAAAACCGGCTTTGCCAAGTATAGGGATATACTCACGTCCGAAATACCGCAGTGTCTCAAGTCGAAAGTATTTGACCAATGTGTGTTGCCAGTGATGGTATACGGATCTGAGATGATGATGAGTACTCAAATACAAATTCTAAGTAGTTATTGAGGCTCTTTTCTTGGAAATATAATTCTAAATATCCTACCGCCACTTTGGGATGGCATTATTCACAATCGATAGAAAGATTGGTGGGCGAATAGAGCTACACAAAAAACTCAAAATTGTTATTTTTCATATTTTCATACATAAATTATCATATTTTTATAATGTATCTTTTCACTTACTGGTATTTTTTAATTTGTTTATGTGTTTCGTATATTATTTTTATCAATTGTTTTAACAAATATTTGTTTAAAATGTTTGTGTTTTAATCATTTAATACCTCTATTTATTGGATATTATGTAGGATATAGCTAAACTCATGTTTATTTTCAAACTCTAAAAATATTTTTTTAAGAAACACTAGTTAAACTGTGTTCCTGACTATGATAGTAAAATTTTATAGGTTCTCATGCGGTTTTGAACATAATATTCTTCTTCTTATTCGGGCACTCTTGTCAGCTTATAGCCACGATGGCCGAACGGTGAAGGGGTCGGAGTGGCCGACTCGAGATCCGAGGAACGCGGGTTCGAATCCCACCGCCGCTCGACTATTGTGGTGAGCCCACTCGTAACACAAGCTTATTTAGCTTACCACGAGGGGCTAACGGGACTATTAGTAATTTGTGCAATACAAATTGCTAATAAAAGAGTGGTCGTGGTTGCGCTGACGATGTACATGGTGGGGTAATTTCATCTCCGAGGGTAGCTCTCCTGGCGATGTGCTTCCATTTCTGACGGTTATAGACGTCTTTAGAAATGAGAACTCGATGGAGAGACTGGTAGTTCAGGGCCAGGTTGAAGGCAAGAGAGCACGCGGTCGATCGCCAACCCGCTGGATAGACGACATCACAAAGGTTACTGAGTCTATTATGGTCCAGTATACTCGCGACGCCTCTAACCGTCAGAAATGGAACATAATATAAAGCATTGACATTATGAATTATGGAAAGTTTAGGCAGAAAACTCTTACATTCCTCGGCCCTTCTTCAAATATTACATATTAATAGTGTTTGCTCCACACCTGCTGGCGCATTGTTTATTGAATGCGGCCTTCGCTCATCAGAAATAGACCGGGGTCGATTCCGGTGGCGTGTTCTGTGACTTACAAGTACAAGATCTCTGTAAGTTGTCTGGGAGAGATCTCTTCTAATCAGGACCACACATTATAGAAATTTAATAGATACAGTTTAATATCTAGGGTTAAGAGTCGCATCTAAACTAAATTTTAAATAACTGAAAAAATTAAGTTGCCTAAGGGCTTCTCGACTTTCATGCTGTCGCATCGCTACTAACGCGCGTTAGTCGCATTTGAAACGCACTACAGAAGTGATGCCAACGCGCTACTGACGCGCTACAGCAGCGCGACTGCATCGCTACAAAAAGTCGCCATGGGCAAGGGTTCTAAGGTTGGGAGAGCAGTCCCCTGGAAAGCGAAAGGTCGTAGGTTCGATTCTCACCTTAGGCAATTCGACTTTTTTCAAGTCATTTAAAAAAAAAGTTAACACCAACAATTCCAAGGTACATTCTTTAGAAACACTTCAATAATATCCCTGAAAGGTCTGAAAACCAAATTAGTTTGCAATCAATTAATAGGCAATTGAGTTGGTAGGCAGTTTCTGTAACTACCCACGAAATATACGGCGGAATCGCATTTTGACAGCTCATTTTTCACTAAATTCAATTTTGGGACAGTGTAACAGTACAGGGTGGTGGTTATAGAATGAAGGAATGACGCTTATAGCATAGTGCGATAAGGCTATTTGTATGTGTTAGGATTTCATTTAGAATGTCATTACCAAAGGAAGGGATGACAGTAAAGTTGACGTCATTAATACTTGATTGAAAGCCAGCAAGGTGGACCGACGACCTGATAAAGGTAGCAGGAAGGCGCCGGATGCAGGCCGGCCGCTACCAACCGTGCGATGTGCAAGTCATTGGGGGAGGCCTATGTTCAGCAGTGGACGACCTATAGCTGAAATGATGATGATGATGATGAGCAACTGTGATTATTTCATTTCATTCGCCGACGTTATGGTATCAGTCACTTTTAAGATAAGACTATTTGTTCGGAAAGGTCTGGGTCATAATATGGAGATGTTTTTACGGCGCTATAAACGCCTTATTGTTTGGTAAACAAAACTCATTTTTACTACTCATGAAGGCGCACAGTCAAAAATTGTCTATGGCCCCAGTTTACGATATACGGAAAGGGACAGCCTGTAAACAATTCATAAAGATATTTATTATTCTTCTTCTTCTTTTCAGCCAAATGACGTCCACTGCTGGACAAAGGCCTCCCCCAAGGTTTTCCACAATGAACGGTCCTGCGCTGCCCGCATCCAGGCTCTTCCCGCGACCTTATTATTATTACGATTATTACGATAAAAGATTTTTATTATTACGATAAAATCTTATTTTTATTTTTCTAATAAAATAACGGTATTTTGGGAAGGTTATAACGATTCAACATAATATTATAGGGAAAATTTCATTATTATTTCCATGGCAATGAAGTCTCATGCTTTAAATGTTGTAGAATTCTTTGAATTTGATTGGTGCGAAAATAAAGAGTGCACTATGTTTCAAAATATGTCTTAATGATTATTAAAATTAATGGTTTTAATATTCATATTATGCTAGTGCAGGATAAATTGTTTCCTTGTCGGTAAAAGCATTACATAATAATATTATTATTCTGTGGTAAAAGTTGCGTTCCATAAAATCTAAATTTATAATTATTTAAATTAAATAATTTGTTGATTACAATTTAATTAAGGCTCTTAATCAGTTCTGAATTCACTGAAAAGTTTCTTAAAAAACTCCCCCAACAGACGTTATTCACTTTGAAGAAATCCAACAAAAGAAAGTGAAAAATTTTTACAGGCGCGAATTTTTCACGCCGTTATTTTATTTCTTACCAACTTATCTGGCAATTTGCACTGATAAATGAAACGCACATAAAAATTCAAATTTAAAACCTCACCCATTCTAATACGTTTCAGTTTAGATTGCAACCGTCAAATAAACAAAACGCAAAATGGAAAACATTTGTTTTGAATTCAGAATCTAATGAGGGCGAAGATGGCCGACCGTGTGCGAAACTCGCCGATCCCGACAATTCCATATTTGAAAAATACATTGTCATAATGCTATTGCCTTTATCCTTACAAATTACGGTCGATTTTCCTTTGTTTGTGTTAAGGAATTTTATTGTGTTGTTAAATTCTGGCTGTTTTATCATCAACCCTATATCAATTTGAATAAGGTCAAATATTAATTGCATTTTCTTGAGTACGTAAGATGTTTTGGATGTAGACTGCGGAATATTTTGTCCCCACGTGCTGAATTTTCATTTCAGTGCCGCGATGGAAATGTTCCCGAATGGACGCGCGGCGTTCGGTCGTTTCGCGCCAAAGTTACGCTGATGTGAATTCAAATTTAGAACGCGATTTGTTTTCTTTTTTTTGTGTGTAGTTTTTCTACGTAGGGCTTAAATAAATAGTTTTGGTGCAAAAAGGTAGTGGTGATGTGGATATTTTTTTTGTGAATTCGAAACGTTTTGGTGAATTTGTATAGTCTATCGGTTGGAAAGAATGTTTTTTCATTATTGACTTATCTAAAGGAGCCAGTAACCTTACAAGTAAGACAAAATAAAAAAAATACCTACCTGCAAAAATAACTTATGACATAGGTACGTTATAGAATGAAATATTTTTATAAATAAATTCTCTTCCGTACTTGAGACTATGCATCTAAAAGTCAATAAGACGGAATGTGACTTGTAAATTTCTTCCGCAGAATAGAGTGGGCTTGAAGTAAACATTATGTATTTATTCTTTTCCGAATTTCAAATATTTGAATAGTATGAATAAATGCACTTTGAATTTAATACGTCCGTGCTTTAGTTTGAATAGAATATTTACCATACGTATCAGTGTAATACAGTAACTATTAAGAAAGTAAGGGATTAGTTTGTTATACTCTGAAATACCCCAAAATAAATGTAAAAAATCAAAACAAATAAAAAATAAATCTGCAATAACCATACTATACATAACTTATATTCTACAATCTACATACCTACGTTCTTATCACCTTTTAATAAAACTGTTACATACAACTTTCCACTACTGCAACGTCTGCAACTGCTGCAAATCCAGGAAAACTTTACGACTAGTGAAAATCCCTGCTCGATGGACCGACGCCCTGTGATAATAGCTATAATAGTAGTCGCTCTTGTATGTTATAGTACAATAGTACAAAATAGCGGCGGTCAATTGAGCCCAATCAATTAATGGCTACCATAAGGCAGAGGGAATACTGTTCCCACCATACTTTTAACCTTATTCCAATGTCCTAAGGTCCAAGAAATCTGAAAATCTATGTCCATTAAACGTCAAGTGCGTAGCTCTATTCAATTTCATAAACGTTTTGAAGATAAACGTTCTATTTCTAAAGAGTTACCTTTCAGTACAGTATCCCCAATGTCACAAGAATCATCATCAAGTAATTTAGTCTCCCTTGCAGGAGGATCACTCTTTCTAATTTCCCAGACGCAAATGGACGATTTCGACTTGAAGGGATATTTGTTAAAGTTAGCCCTAATAATTTTAATAAACTAACATTTGTTAATATACTTACTTGTTAACCAGTTCTGTCTGTGTTTCAGTTTTCTTTTACCATATTGTAAGGAACTATCGTAATAATTTTATACCTATGTGTAGTGTTATTATGTAATTTTATTTTCGTCAATCCGCTGTAGGGTACGAACCCGCGTTCCTCGGATTATGGTTTACATAATTATACTATAACCTAAGCCTTTAAGACCTTTATAATAATAACTTCGATATTTAAGAAGTAAACAGCAACCTCACGTTCCAAGTGTTTGCCGAACAGTTAACCAAGTTAACCTTCAATTAACACAACGTGACAAACAGTTTGAAGTGCGATTAGACCATTAGTGGCGTGAGGCTGCCTTGTCACGTACATGTGTTACTTGAAATCATTAAAACGATTGGTCGTTTACTAGTAGGCAGTAATCGGTATTTGTAAGACAAACTTCTTAACTATCTAAGTACTTCACAGATCACAGAAACTAAAGGGTGATGTGACAAGGGGGCGGGCGTGTCGCAGCAATATGCCCAAAAACAGAACACATTCCTCGTGACAGCAATGATGACAGCAGCGACGTCATAATGTAAACAGTTTACATTGCTTGCGTAGTACTAAAGATTATTCCAACTTTGAGTACTGATACCGCAGTGGATAATGAGCACATATTTTGATTACTTTGTGTGTGTGAATTTCTAATGCGACACTGAGTTTTGAACTCATCATTAGTTGGCATCTCTCTATATCTCTATGATTTACTTACATGTCATCATAGAAATCTATTGATATAAATACTACAGATATATCAATTCAACCTTTCAGAAGCAATCAGTCATCCCCCGTATATTTTACTACTTGTTTCTGGAGCAGCGCCATATTATGACGTGAACAAATCGAATCTAACATTATCTGAGTTAAAGCAGCTTAACTCTCGAACTACTGTTCTTTATACGAAGTAACAGACTTGTCCCTTGTTGAGTTTCATCTCTATTTCGGTCCAAAGATTTATTAAAATCAAAATTTCTAGTGTTACTGTCAATTTAAGGCTGAGTTGCACCACCTAACTTTGACCGTAACTATAACGATAACCAGTGTTTTTTGTATGAAGTTTGACAGACTTTTGACGTTTGTCTCAGTTAAATTAAGATGGTGCAACCCAGCCTAATACTTTACTTGTTTGTAAACGTATCGTTCTATTTGAAATACTTACATTAGTTATTTGTCAATCTCAATTCAGTTATTATCATACAAACACAATTTCATAATACAGTCCACTTTGCATTTCGTCCTTTACAAGACAGATTCAATTTCGCGATCGCTTCACGAAGCTTCACTAAGCTCGCAAAAAAAGGTCAAGCGAAGCGATTTAGGATTTAAAACTGAAAGTCTTCTTATTAGGTCGGTGCAGTCAACGTCAAAAGTTGGTGACACCCATAGTGGCAAAAAATTGACAACAACCTTATATCAATTTTATTGTAACAAAGACGTGTTGGGAACTTTTTGGCTACTTTGGATGTCACGAAGTAAATACAAATGATGCTGACTGTATTATTAATTTAAAAACATAACATTACAAAATAAAATGCATTCGGACTTCCTTGAAATGTATTATTAGTAGGTCAATATTATTAGTTAGCTGTTGTGCGGCCTTTCCTTACTAATAAAATTGGAAAACCCAATTTAAGGATATGCGTATCGGATACTCTATTATTAGTATTTTTGTTTTGAATAGCAGTTAATGAATATTATTACACATTGAACTTGCCTAAACTTGACCCTCACTGGTTGGGTTTTTATTGACGGTCAAGCTGCAGATCCTGGGTACACAGCAGTTGCAGCGAGAGGTGGCAATAGTCCCGTCTAAACATTGACTAATTTTAATTTGTTTTAGTAATTAATAAATTAGCTGTTTCAGTGTATAAAAAAGTTAGCGGATTTTAACCAAGTGATAATACAAGTAAGAATAATGAGGTATTATTAAATTAATATTTTCTGGAACGTAGGTAATTTTTTGGTTTTGCTTATTTTTATTTCAATATAGCACTCTTTTTTCATTAAGTTGCCAGTTTTCATCATAATTTATAATGGTATTTCGTTTCTAAAATATGCACTACTGTTGTAAATATGAAACACATTTTACAGCGTTTTACAGGTGAAAACGTTTTCAATAATTTCTGATTTACACACACAGCTAGGTGATTTAGCAAACCCACGATAGTATTGTAAAATGTAGTTTGTTTTCAAATGCCTGGAATTCCGGGCTTATACGCAATATCTAATTCGATCCCATAACGGATTGCATCCTAAGCTCTTACAGTACAGATTTTAGGCACGATTGAACCTTACAATGATGATGATAATGATTGTAATTGATTGTGTGAAGTGAGCGTGAATTAACGCGAACTTTTTGGATATTTATTAAACTGCAGAGGGAAGTAAATGATATTGAATTGATATTGTAGAAATAATTAAAATACTACAAGCATTCAGACACGCTATTGTGCTAGTCAGGTTACACCCAATACCTACGAATATTTGGTCACTTATTAAATTCAAATTCAATCTTTTTTACGCAATTTTCAAGTACAAGTTAAAAGCTATCCTACCTACTTGAAGAAAATTTAGTATTAAAAGTAATTATTAAAATAAATAAATAAAATAAAAATAAAAATAAAAATAAAAATAAAAATAAAAATAAAAATAAAAATAAAAATAAAAATAAAAATAAAAATAAAAATAAAAATAAAAATAAAAATAAAAAAAAAAAAAAAAAAAAAAAAAAATAAAAAAAAAAAAAAATAAAAATAAAAATAAAAATAAAAATAAAAATAAAAATAAAAATAAAAATAAAAATAAAAATAAAAATAAAAATAAAAATAAAAATAAAAATAAAAATAAAAATAAAAATAAAAATAAAAATAAAAATAAAAATAAAAATAAAAAATAAAAATAAAAATCATTTATTATCAGACAAAAGCAGTCCATAGTTTGGTTAGTAACAATTTGAACTTAGAGACTATATTAGTAGAGTTAGTAACAATGTTCTTAGAAATATGTTAGTCGTACATCATGGGTTCTGTATATTGACTCTTTATCTATGGACGCTGTATAGCGTATTATCACACGACTCTCAGTTTAGCCGCTCGATGGTGACATTCTAAAAATAATATTATTTTTACCCTATTATTCTTCAACAGTGATATAATTAGTGTCATTACCATAGTTGTTACGATGACGTAGGTAGTACGAATAATAATAACGTACCTACATCACATGACGTGTGACGGTGTGAACCACAATACTACACGTAATGATCTGCCATGCTAAATGTAGCCTATGCCATTGTTAGTAAATACGGCCATTTGAGTAAACTAAATTTTGCCTGAGGCTCGAATTTGGACGCTATTGTTGCTGAAAATAAATTATCTGGTATCTTGGTTGACATAACACTTGCAACATCAGATACCGAAGAGAGACTAGTGCATTATCGTATGCCCGTTTTAAGAAATTAGGATTATATTTTGTACAAAATACTTACAGCGCCGTCTTGTCGCAAAAGATCTTCGTTTGTTCGTTCGTTTCAGCCAAATGATGGCCACTGCTGGACAAAGGCCTCCCCCAAGGCTTTCCACAATGAACGGTCCTGCGCTGCCCGCATCCAGGCTCTTCCCGCAACCTTTACCAGATCGTTGGTCCACCTAGTAGGAGGCCTACCCACGCTACCCCTTCCAGCCCGTGGTCGCCACTCGAGAACTTTCCTGCCCCAACGGCCATCGTCTCTACGAGCTATGTGCCCCGCCCAAAAGCTCTTATGCCAAAATAATCACATACAAATCCATTATGTTCTCAAATTTCCTTGTTCTCCAACTTCTTCTATGGAGACAGGAGACTATGGTCTGTATAATCTTTGCCCAGAAATATCCATGACTTGAATCATGTATCGCTCAGCGTTTAATAGGTACAGTTTCACTAATATAGTGGTTGCCACCTTAACTTACCAAAAAAACGAAATACTGGATCTGAAGTGCCAGCCAGTCCAACCCAAAAGGCGACATGTGGTGAATAAGATTTTTTCCTCTATTACCTTCAGTGTCCTTTTCGTATTTATATTCTAACTTGACTATTTTTCTGCTTTTTGTTAAACGTATTATGTATTTATAGCTTCAACCCACTCCATACAAACTCACCAAAACTCTTATCGTTATTTTTGTATAAAACAGGCACCAATTAGCAAAACTGAAGGGTCAATTAATGAAACAATTCAATATGTGAATAGACGAAGCTTCATCAATATAAGTGGATCAGTCGTTGGTACCGCGTGCCTTTAATAGTTACGACTAGTTAAAAATAGGTTTATGATAAGTGAAATTTTAAGTGTATAAACCAAGTTCAGTGATCTTATGAGTGATTGTTTTTATCTAAACTAACTATACTAAAATATAAACGGATTAGTACAACATTATTATGTGACATAATAAGTCGGACAGTTATTGTGAAGTGTGACGTGTGTTATCTACTAAGAATTTAAAAATTAAAACTGAGCGTTAATAAAATTCGGCTAGTTAGATGGAAGATTCTTGTCCAACTTGCACCCATTGTGTAAGATAGAGTCAAACTGATTTGTAAGCTGAATTGTGTATCTATAAAGTAAGCTACTAGTCATATATCCAGCCATTATATATGACTAGTCAAGTCACAGTGCGAAAAGTGTCGAATTATAATAGCATCAAAAGTAACCATCAAAGAATCAAATCGCACTATCAACTAGCGAACTAGTCATCCAACCAAGTCAGACTATCAGTCACTGTGAAAAGTGTTGATTAAAATAGCACTAAAAACTACTAAAACACACCAACAAAATCTTTACCACTCCTGACTGGACAAGTTACTGTGCAAAAAGTGTTGATTAAGAAAACAACGAATACATCTGACTAGTCACTAAGCAACTCCCAACTAGTCACCCGGCAACACCCGACTAGTCACCCGGCAACTCCCGACAGTCCACCAGCAACTCGCGACTAGTCACCCGGCAACTCCCGACTAGTCCACCAGCAACTCCCGACTAGTCACCCGGCAACTCCCGACTAGTCAAGTTGCAGCTTTCGTGCGCAGAGTGCGCGAGGCGCGCGGGCCGTGCGCGCTGCACGCCCGCGCGCGACGAGCCATGCGCTACCGTCATGGAGACCATCTCTGAGGATGCTGAAGCTGAACTGGAACTTGGTAACTATCTTGGTACTCAGCTTTTTTTAACAATATCTTTAGTAACAGTGTAGCTTACATCTAATTGTGTACCACATTTACCGCAATAAAAAAAATCTTATCTTATCTTAATCCGAAATTAAGCAAAGCCAATGGGTAGAATATACAACCTTTAACACAATCATTATACATATTTTTTGATAAATAAACATATACTCGTAAATATTTTTTTGAATATGCGTACTTAAGGGGACATCACTATTATAGGCTACGTCTTATTCAAACTAAGCCAAAATAAAATAAGCAAAGCCTGCTATGTGAACGATTCAAAGTTTAACAAACACGTTATTTACTGTATTCTTATTTTAATGAAAATAATAACATTGGAAAATATTACGCAGTCTAGTCTAGTCCCATGGGAACGAAATATACGCTATAATATATTAATAGCAATCATATTTATTTATTTATTTACTTAAAGGCACAACCACAGAATACAATTCTATAAAATTAAATTATAATAATAATTAAATAATTGTGTAAATTCATAATAACCGGCGATTATTAATAATTTTCAATTTATCACATTTACCGTAACATATACACAGATGTTTGTGTTGTGCGGGTATCGAACCCACCATCTTTGGCGTAGAAGACGCAGACAGTGCACCATATGGGCCATCAATAGGGACACAACTTTTATATTGCGTGATAAAAACTTTCAGCGGCAAAAGCCATAGGCGAATATTGACCTCAGATATAGGATATTCAAATAGTTATCTACGGAATTGCTACCATGTACCTTTTTGTTTACGAGCGTCCGATATTTCGGCACTGTTGCGAGCGCCATGATCACGGAGTAACTCGGAGGCTCGTTAATAAAAAGGTACATGGTAGCAATCACGTATTCTAATGTTGGTGACCATGAAAATTTAAAACAATACATGTATATTCAACCTTTCATTTAGCTTTTTCTTAATTACGACGAGTAAAGGACGTAGCACACTTATCAACTCGGAGAGGGATCGTAACCGTATCAACTTGAGGCGATCAGTATTTTTTGTACGAAACTCCATACTGCAACTCACACGTCTTATCCGCACCGTAACGTAAACGCCTCGCCTCGCTGTTGACAACGCGCGAAAGGCGATGACAGCTCGCGGAAGGACGTTGTTGATCCCTTTCCGAGTTGATAAGTCTGCTATGGCCTTAATAGAAAATATGCGGCGAGGCTTATAAAGTCCATAGCAATTTTTTTTCTATTTACTAAACGGGAACTGCGCCCAAACAGCGATATTTAGGGAGCAATTAGTCTGTGTCAATGTTTGATTGGCTACCGTAAATTCGCTAGTGATGTACTGTTGCAGATCCGATAAAATATCCGTAGTATCAATATTCATTGCTTGATAATGGACGAAGGTCGGCCGTAGTAAGGACATCGGACAGTCTATTCAGGTCACTTACCATCTGGTGATCCGTCTGCTCGTTTGCCTCCTGTCACATAAAAAAAAAGGTCAGGGTTCTCAAATGGTTCAAACTTGGAGTGCAAGTGTGGTTGTGTTCCCCAGTCGATGAAGAACATGATGTCGTGCCCTGCGTGCTCAAACAACTGCACGCAGGAAGATTTAATAAATGCTACTTTCAACGCCACTCTTGTAATAGAGTTTTGCTCTGACACTGTAGGTTTGTTGTCGACACGACAAGAAGAAGAAGAATGAATGGATGACGTCACCATTTATTTGAAATACTAACGTTTTACGATACAGTTATGGGTTTCTTAACCCTCATGAAGAGTTTGCTTATTTCAATGTTAGTATTATTACTAGAAAACTCAATGGCTGTTTTCTGCGCATCTTTCAGATCTAAAACGACTGATCTATTCCACCCTCTTACTGTTTTGTTATTTTGTCGGTACAAAATAACAAAACATTGTTTACGAGCTAATTCTTTTCGAAATAGTAATGAGAACAGTCTTTGTCCCTGAATTTCTAGTGCTCTTAACTGGCCCATTATAATAACGAAATTATTTCTATTGAATTAAGAAACGCTTGAAGATATTAGATAAGAATGCGTTTAGTTCACCTTTAGTAAGCAGCAGGTTATAATGTACTCATTTCATATATAAAATACTTTTATGTCCAGAATATCTTTCAAATTCAAAACGTTTATTGCATGTCACATTACAATTTATATGTTGTTGCAATAGAGGTATACATGTGACGCCCTGCAAGGGCACAGCAAAACATCAGAGAGAGGGTAGGTATCTATTTATTTCAATATCATTCCGACTTCATTAAGATACGCGTCACCTCTAACTTACAAACAAAAGTCCTTTGTGATAGTAAGCGGACTCGGAGAAATTCGACAAAAACTGTAACTAGTTAGCGCATTAAGTGACACAGCTAAATGACTACTTTCTAATTTTCCCATTCTAAAACTTATTCTTCAGTTAATAGATCTGACGATTGAAAAATCAGCCCTAATTCACAAATTCCTAGGAACATTAAAATTTATGAGTAAGAGTCAAAATCATAGAAATTGCTACGCGTAGAAGAGTTGTTGATAAAAATTCAAAAAACCATTTGTGACGCCCCTTAGCATGAATTCTTCTAGGATAGTAAAATAGTCAACAGCCAGATACTTTTATTGGACAAAATCAATAACAATCTTAACAAGCGCGGAATAAAAGAAATCGTTTTGTGTTTTTACGCCATCTTAGCCCAACTTATAAAATCCTTCACGATGATAAACGGGCAAGGATCAAGACAAAAACCACTAACAGTTAGCGCAATAAAGTGAAACCCTGGGATTTATTCTCCAGTTCAGTTTCTGTATTTTCTACTTTAGCTATCTCTTTCACACCTGCTTAGCGAGAGGATACATGAAATAGATAGCGCTAGCGCTGAAAGTTTCATCCTTAATTAGGGTCGTGCCATCCTTTATACTCATGACATAAGTAAAAGGGACAGATAGAGTCGAAATTGCAGAAATTCTTGTTGATAGTAGGGCCCTTGATAAAAACTGCGCCATTAATCTCCAAGTGGCCGCCACTGGCGCCCTCTAGCCGCAACAAGGCCAAATTAATGGAGACGCCCAAATTGATTCACTGAAGCTTTGACAATTAATAATGTTGGGGAAATAGATATCGCACAAATGAGACGTGTCGTTGATAAGAAATATCTAGAACTAGCGGCCGCCCGAGACTTCGTACGAGTGATCCCGTTTTACCCCCTTAGGGGTAGAGTTTCGTAAAATCCTTTCTTAGCGGATGCCTACGTCATAACATCTAGCTGCATGGTAAATTTCAGCCGGATCCGTCCAGTGGTTTGGGCTGTGCGTTGATAGATCACTATGTCAGTCAGTCTGTCTGTCAGTCACCTTTGATATATTACTTGATACTTACCTGATTAACACTCTGCTAATGAAAAGTAGCTGAATTTAAATTCTTAGCCGTGTTTCAAGTTTGATTCCTTCAACTTTTCCAATACTTTTTCCAATTGTTAGCCCTACTTAAAGTTTATCAAGGAATAGCTTTGGAGAAAATGAATTTGTCTTTGTCCATCTAAAAACTTTCTTTGATATTTTTATTATAACCCAAACTGATTCTAGGTAAAAGAAATAAAATATCTAAGGTTCATAACTTTTAAAAATTCATAAAACAACTTACAGAAAAAAATAGTTTGTAAATCGTAACATTTACTTACGTTAATTTGTAATTTAGTAAAACATCACGTAAGACTTGATTTCGCTCTACATATTTTAATTTATGGATGTACTTCTGAAATAAACAATTTGATTTGATTTATTTGGTTCAATAATGTCGACTAGTCAGTAACTTTACCGTGGCTTAACTAGTCCTGAACTAGTTGGAACATCCCTAAAGTTTTTATACTCTTAAACCGCAAAACTATTTGGCGGTTCGGATATTTATTCACCTGGAATCAGAATATCCGGTCATGTCCGAAAATAACGCTCAGTCGAAGCAGCGTTTTTACTGCTCGACATTTTCCGGGGTCTCGTTAGGGCAATTATTATTTGCGTAATTAAAGGAAATAATCATTTTTAAGGGGATCAATATTTAGTATAATGAGCGACTTCCTTATTGGATGATTATTGTCTATTAATAATTTGATTATAATGAAGATATCAAGAAGTTCCCGGAAGGGAACATTGATGCTTTCATTTTTAGAGAGTCTTTACTGTTGTTAGAAGTTTGCTGTATTTCTAGTTTAAAATAATGAGATAATATATTCTGAGTTTTTTCCAAATATTAAATTCTTTATGTTCTTTAAGTACTGCCGTCTAATATAAAAGCAGTTATTTAGGTTACCTACTTGCACAAAATACATATTTTCACTCGCATTTTGAACTGTTTGTTTTTTTTATGTAGTAATCCTTAATTTTACCACGCACACTTGCATTCGCATTCTTGAATGTTTCTAAAAAAGTACGTTCATCGCGGAATAAACGAAGTGGCTTATTTTCAGCAATTGTATAGGTTTATGGGAACATTTAAAGCCACAGGCAATTTGCCGGGTCATTATCGCGGCCGCGTCCCCTGGGACCCGGGATGGCTCGATACGCGAGACTTCCTCACACGATGCAATTTATTGCGGGGAATATAAGATATAAGCTGAAATCTAGGTCAAAAAGGGACACGTTATTTTCAGTACATAACGGTGATAACCCGTACTAGGGGTACCTACGGGTTATCACCGTGAAAAAGTGTATTTCCTAGTTAAATATACGTAGTATTTACTAGCGGCCGCCCGCGACTTCGTACGCGTGGATCCCGTTTTACCCCCTTAGGGGTTGAACTTTGCAAAATCCCGTCTTAGTGAGCACCTACATTCTAAAAAGAACCCGCATGCAAAATTTGAAGACAAAGACTCCTAGCACTTGTAGTTTCTGAGATTTCGTCATGAGTGAGTGAGTCAATCCTTGTTCCAGTGACCTTTCGCTTTTATAGGGAAAAACACTATCCTACGTTTTCAACAAACTATAGTTACTAGTTTTCATTT